GACGTCACCTCACTATACACAAACATCCCTCATGTACATGGCCTAGCTGCTATAGAACATTTCCTGGACCAAAGGCCTAACAATACGTCTCCGAGTACAGCTTTTTTAGTTAACTTAGCCAAATTTATCCTAGAAAAAAATAACTTTCAATTTGAAGGCACAAATTTCCTACAAATAAAGGGTACTGCAATGGGCACTAGAATGGCCCCATCATATGCCAATTTATTCATGGGCCGCCTTGAGCAATCATTCCTGAAAACACAAAAAACCCAACCCACCTGCTGGTTTTGTTTCATTGACGATATCTTCATGATCTGGACAAATTCAGAGGAGGATCTGACTAAATTTCTAAATGACCTCTCCAATTTCAGTCCCCTCCAATTCACCCACACCACGTCAACCACAGAAATCACTTTCCTGGATGTAAATTTAAAATTACAGAATGGTGTCATCGAAACTGGAATTCATATTAAGCCAACCAACCACCTGCAATACCTTCACTTCAATAGCTGCCATCCTACCAACACCAAACGTTCAATTCCTTACAGCCAAGCCATGAGAGCCAAAAGAATTTGTTCCTCTGACATAGAACTGGAAAAGTTCAATAGCAGAATGAAAAACTCCCTTACTAAAAGAGGTTATCCGGCCAATCTAGTTGAAAACCAGATCCGTCTGGCTCAATCAGAAACCACCAACGTTAGGCCTACTCAAAAAAGAAACTCCCAACAAAACCTGCAGCTTATCACGACCTACCACCACGGCCTCCAATCCTTAAACACAATTTTAAAAGACGGTTTCAAAATTCTCAGAGCATCCCCACACACCAAAGACTTCTTGGAAAAACCTCCCACAACTACATTCCGACAACCAGCCAATTTAAAAAAGTTGTTAGTTCACCCTAAACAGTCAAAACCTAACAAAGACCAAGACAAACCCATAGAAGGCTCATTCCCATGTGACATGGCAAGATGCAAAACCTGCCACATTAATAGGCCCAGCACAACATTTACAAGCACATCAACAGGAGAAACCTTCAAAATTAAAGGACACAATACATGCTCCACGAAAAATGTTGTATATCAACTTCAATGCAACCATTGCCCATCTCAATACATTGGACTTACCACCACCAGTTTTAGAACAAGAATGAACAATCATAGGACAGATATAAAAAACAACCATCCAGAAAAACCAGTGCCTATTCATGCTACCAGCCACAATATGCAAGATTTAAACAGTTGTTTCAATTCAAAAATAATAAGATCTTTCCCTCCCACCTGTAACCCATCACAACTAAGGAGATGGGAACTCTCTTATCAATGGTTCACCAAATCCAGGGAGCCCCCAAACCTCAATCTCAGATAGGCCTAACATTTTCCTTTCCCCTTCCACACCTAAAAAGCAGGCTTAGACTAAGTGTAAATAAAATCAATGACTCATAACCTTGTGTTGGCAACACTGCTTCCTTACCAGTGAAAGTGTGAAAGACTCTTAATATCTAATGTGACTCTCCATGTTGAGAAAGGGGCCAGTGGCCTCGAAATATCCAGTGTTTATTTTGTTTGTTTGTGTTTTCTTCTGTGTTCTGTAGTGAATGAAGTGGGATGCCTACATTTTTTAAGGTAAGCCTGCTTATCCTATCCTTTCTTACACCTATTCTCAGGCAATTAGCCCTTTCTCTCCAAACCTGTACTCAAGGTAAGTTATACTTGAAGTTGTTTTTTTAAATAAAAACCAAGAGTCAATAAGTATTAGTTATTACAAGATAATTAATTAATTAACTAATAATTACAAAATATGTTTTGTGTGTGTCAGTTACGGAGAGGCTAAAAAATATGACAATTACATTTGTGGAATTAGGTTAAACTGTAACGAGTTATAACTAAAAATATTCATACTCGCAGTAAACATGAATAATCAGCGAATTTCAAATGCCAGCATATGTAAAGTACAAGTAAATAAAGTGTTATTAACCACTACGTTAATAACAAAACAGCTAATTTCCTATACGGGAAATTCGCTAAAATTAATCATTATTTATTAATTTAGTAAATTAAAGCTTTTACCTCCACGAGAAATAGATGATACCCAGCTTTTCTCCAGGGTTGAATTCTGCGGTAGAAGACTTCTTGTAACAGTTCCCAAGCTTGGGTCAAGGTGTTTGACTTTGAACGCTACGTATCCTGCAATATAATTAATAGCTTCTTGTTCAGCCCAGTCCTTTTCTTGGCCAATAGGGAAGTCGTCAGCAGAAAAACTTTCGTCTTCATCAAATGGTTCATCAACCGTTTCTGTGATTTTGACCTGCTGAGGTTCATCAAGAGGAGTTACTTGCTTATCGGCTTCTTCATCGGCTTCTTTAGCACTGAAAGCAGAGTCTAACAATTCAGCTGTTAGGTAAGTGCTAGTTGATGTCTTATCATCCTCAACAAGCTGGTTCGACTTGGGAGATGGCTTAGGTAATTTATTAGAAAGTAACAGTTGTTTAATCCTGTATGTTACTTCTGTGGCAGTTGGATGGTCGTTAAATCTTCCCATTCCCCTCAGTTGCCCAAACAAGCTTTCTAATACATCCTGTGTTAGTCTCACGGTTAAAATGTGTTTCAAGCCAATTTCTTTTAGATCTTCGTGAAGTTTCAGAAGTGAGGAGATGGACATGAGAATCCCTTTTTGGAAAGGAAGGATGTTCTTCTTTCCAATGACCCTCATTGTTGAAATTGTTTGTTCAACTTCTGCTAATATTTTCTTCTGATCTCTAAAAACATTTTCATCAATGCCAAAGGCGAAATTCATAGGGTTATTCCCATACAATCTTTTGCTGTTCATGAGATCGGAAAATTGGTCCATTAAATCGAAGAAATCTGAAGCCTTATTATTACCTAACAGCACCAATATAGCCTTAGCCACTGTGTGTGAGAATACTGCTTTAGCAGGGCCGACTTTTTGCCTTGCATTTCCCTTTAAAGCTAGAAACTCCGGTTTGAGTTTATGGCATAGCCTTATTTCACCTTTGTCTTTCTCTAACAAATCAGTAAGTAAACTTACTTTTATTTCAGTTCCGTCCCCTAACTTTAAGCCGCTGTCCAATAAGTGATTTCTCATTAATTTAAAATAATGAGGCATGTCTGCAAAAACGTAAATGTTTCGAGATGCACAAGCAGGGTTTACAAAAGAGTTATTGTCAACGCATATTTTTAACTCTTTGTACAAGGTATTGCAGCCCCCTAAATCGGATACAACAGCAACAACCCGTATATTACTTGTTTCTAATTCTTGTATTATATTAAACAATATATCTTTATTCATCGTTGTATCAAAAGAGTAGTAAACAGGTTGTTTCCAGGGGGATACTAAGCCTCTTGCCAGAACAACCTGGACTCTTGAGAAGGGTCCTAGAGCTTGGTCGAAACCTGCGTGGTAACAAATTTTACTATCGATGTGCATTTCATCGAAGCTTAAAATGCACGTTCTTTCAAGGTCAGTCATTGTTTCTGAGCTTTTAGACATAAGTTCTAAAACATTAGTCAAAAGACCAGGATCACATTGAAACTTTGAACACCATCTTTTTAAAGTTGATGGTGAAGGCAAGGGGAAGTTCATTTTTTTCCTTAAAAATTCATAGGTTTTCTGATTGAGAGCTCTTAAAACTATAGCTCTAGAAATGTCATCAGAGTTCCACTTCACTGTACTTTTTTTACTAACAACAGCTTTTATTTGGTTTGCAGTAAAGATCTTTTTAGCATTGTTAAAAAATGAATGACACTGTTTATTACATTTCGAACTTTTTACTGAAATGTTTTTTTGCTTGGTTAAGGCCATTTTCAAATTAGTTTTAGTTGTCATTAACCTTTTAAATTTTTTTGCATTTACTTTAATTTTTTGTTTAGCTTTTTGTAGTTCGCTTTTTAGTGCGAGCAATTCACTTTCAATGGCTTCAATCTTTTTTTGTTTTTCTAAACAATTTAAACAATCAGTGATGTTCTCTTGACTACATGATGTGTTAATACTTTTACTACTTACATTAATAGAATTACTTTCAATATCTTCTGTCATTGATTCAACATGTTCCAATCTAGGTTTTTTAGGGCTTAACGTTTTTAAGCGATCTAAAGCTGCTTTCTTAATTATACGATTGTTGTGTCTTTCATACCTTAAGTTTTCATGGTGGTCTTCGTCACTCGTCCTATTTAAGTTGATCGATGGAACAGCACCCTTTTTCAAAATCTTTTTTTGTGGCAAGCCAAGGAGTCTGTTTTTCATATCGTCCTCATAATCACTAGGAAGAAAGTGGTCACTACAAATCCTAGCATTGTTTTTATTTATAGGATCTGCCCTTTTGCATTTAATTTCCCAAATAGAACTGATCGCTGGATCTTTAGGAAATGTGTGATAAACAACACCATTAGTTTTTCTTTGATAATTTGCGCACGTTGCTACAGAACAATTAACAACCATCGTAAACAATTAGAGTACAACTCACATTTCACCACACACTATCACCAACAACACTACTATAAAACTGTAACACACACATGACAGAACGCGGTGAGAAACGCGACTAATAAGCCGGGTAGCAGCCACGTGGTCCGCGAGTGTCCTTGTAGCTACGTCATCGAGGGGGGAAGTAGGGGAGGTGGCGGGGCCGGGCGGCGCGCTCAGACTTCAAAGGAGTGGGCCAGCCCTTGTTGGTTAGTCCTGGCAAATGTTCATCAGTTTCCATCAAGACTGTGATTAAAGTTCAGTTTTGCCGATCAGTGCGATAAAAACTAACAGGGTTTACCTTTGTTCGCTGTCCTTGGTTGTTTTATAAAGACACACCTTATCAGTTCACTTATCTAGTTGGGTAACACCACTTGTAAAACTCTTCTAAAATTTGGTCACTCCTCAAACCAAACGATGCAAAGCATTGTGGATGAGTTTACAACCACCTCCGTAAAAAAAATACATTGGTGATATTTCAACTTAATTTGAAGTGTAATTATTTATCTTGGGTTGTGCAGGAACGGCCTACGACATGCCACTCCACTACAGCATGCACCGTAACCTTACAAACCCTGACGAGTACAAAGCATTGTTCACCACCGCCATCTTGAATGCAGTCAGTGTGATTGGAGTGTCTGGTGCGATCAGCCGACCTCCGGCTCCCATCTTTGTATCTCTTCCCTCCCTCCCTTCTACATGGGAATCTCTGCAGGTACACTATTGTCCATAGTAAATCAGGTTTTGTATTACAGTTTTATTCACTTCTCTAGGTTCGTGTGAATATTGCTTAAAGTTAGACAGTTTTGTTTTCCCATCTCGACCTACCAGTAGCATAAATCAAATTAGCTCCCGGTATTTGCTTTAAACTTTGACGATATATTTGATGGTGAATTCTTTAGGTCATCATTCCAACAACACTTACTTTTGGAATCATTGGCTACCCTTTCCTCATGCCAGGACCTGTCGGAGGAGATTTCATTGTGAAAGACCCGTTGAGATATTCCAGTTCAGGTAAGGATTGCTAATCATTCCATCTGATTACTAAAAGTATGTTATTGATTTGATATGAATATTTTGTGAAATCTTATTCAGCTTGCTAACGTAATTCTTTGTCACCAAAAACCAAATAGGGCCCTCTCTATCCTAAGTAATCATAAAGAGTAAAAGCTTTGTAAAACTTAATATTTTTTTCAAGGGAGTGGCAGTGCTAGCTGTAGACACCTTCTAAAAATATCAATCAAATGAAAGATAGTTTTAGAAAATAAACATTTTATTCTTGATTTTATTCCAAAAATTGAAGTATTTTTGCAAATCTTTCCTTACATCATATTAGCAAAAGCCTGAATTAGAAATCAAGTTTTCAAGCAAGTTTAGAGTCTTAATAAATGAAAATTATACCCATAGCTGATATTAAAGATATTTTTATTCTTAAACTCTTAATGAGCTTTCAGCTAAAAAATTAAGCAAACACAACCTTGACAAAAATGTGTCATAACCTTTGACAGTGAGCCTTATTTGACAAAAAGATTAGTAAAATAGTATTTGTGAATATCTGCAGGATTTTAAATTAGACAGATACTGGATTCAATTCTTTTAGTGCTCATACACAAAAACTGCTTAGTGAAATTGTTTTAAGATTTTGACGCATAGTTCAACATTATAGTGTTAGCAAAACGGGAGTGCCGATGGAGACCTGTGGGGGTGCGTGCGTTTGAAGGGACTTGACCTGGTCTCCATCGGCACTCCCGTTTTGCTGACACTGTAATATCACTTGAATTCCAGGTAACCAGTCCTCGCCTGACTTTGACTTCACCTTGGAAGAGTTGATGGACAAGGGACTACCCAACAAGGAGCTGTACATTCGTTGGCTGCAGCTTGCAACGTTCCTACCAGTTATACGCTACTCCCATCTGCCAAGCGAGTACAAAGACGACGATCAGGTCTTAGAACTGGCCAAGACACTTACAGCTCTACGTCAAAAAATGGTAACCCTTCAACCAGCTATATAGTAGATCGCGCCACTCATCCTACACGGGTGTCATCTCCATTCATACTTGGCTTAAAATACCTACTTTGTATGGTCACCATTTCATTGTAAAGTATTACAGTATTACAGATTAAAATTAACAAATTAACCCTTCTTGGGTGATTTTAAAAAACCAATCGTTGACACAAGGAGTTTTTTTTTGTGGGTATCGAAACCTTATACAGTGCAATTAATTGTATACATGTTAAGGTATAAAACCATGTATAATCAGTAAAAGTGTACATTGAATCAATAAATAAATTCAAAATTAAGTAAATTGGCAAAATATATCCCCAAAAATGAAAAATTCAAAATACAAAACAATATTTTGTAGGTCTACAAATAGTTTATAGGAACACCTAGTAATTTTAATATGAGCGTCTATAAAGAAAATGTTCATTGTTAATTCAGAGAGTAGGTTCTTCAATACCAGATTGAGCTTATTGAACAAAGTCGAGTAAGAAAACATTTATTGCAAAAGTATAACTCGTGAAATTTGTTTATTAAATTTCTAAAACAAGTGTTGCTCCTTATCTTTTTTCAGGTAAACCCTCTCCTGAAGAAGTACGCACAGGAGGCCCTAGACTCTGGCACTCCTCTAGTCCGACCTCTTTGGATGTTAGATCCTAGCGACTCGGCTTGTCACCTGGTCAAGGACGAGTTCTCAGTCGGAGAAGAACTCATTGTCGCTCCCATCCTGCGGCCAAACACTCACGAGCGAGAGGTAAGCTACATCCTTGTCCCACTTCAAAAGGGGAAGGGTGAAAAATTCTAGAGTACGATTAATTTCTCCTTCAATTCCCCTTTACAGCTATTGATATTCTGGCATTCCGACTAAGATGATTCCAGTCAAAAAGTTCACAAATTAAATGAATCCCATGAAGGGTTAGAATTCATTTCCTACTAGTGGAACATCAAACAATCAATATTGATGTTTTTACCTTCCGACGTTCCTTAACAGCAAATAAAAACACCAGAACGTAAAATCATCAATATTTATTAAACTTATTTGTTTATTTACCTGCAAAAACAAGTCAGTTGGTTGTGTTTGTTCGTTACCATGCCACAGAGAAAGCGCAGAATACTATGTTCTAACAGTTTGTGCTTACCAAAACTACGTAATTCTGTCGAGTACGTCGGATATGTTTGATGAATGTGGTATATTATTTTTGAACAAGGCAGTAACAATATAATTCACACAACACAGTCGGTTGAAGAATTGTTATTGTTGATCAGCAACCTTACTTATGCCAAGCAAATAACTGTTTTGTATCCCAGTATTTACTATAACTTATATTCTACATGCTTATTCTGGTAAATATCTTGTTCTGTAGTTTTTTACCTTAAAGGACACAATTTAAACAAAATATTTAAAAAACTCACTGCTATCGTTTTTTTTATATTTTATAAAGTATAATAAGAGTACACTTATTTGATTAACACATATTTTTTTACAGGTCTACCTGCCAGCAGGAGTTTGGAAGGACGGAATAGACGGCAGCCTTAGAAAAGGTTCTCGATGGATCCACAGTTATAAAGTTCCCTTGGAGAAAATTGCTTATTTCCTCAAGATGCCTGATAACACTAGGTTTTGAAAATCTATTTCCTTTAGTAAATCAAGTCACAGACATACCTGAACTAAAGTTGTGATGTTAGTCAATCAAATGTTTTTAGAGGTATTAAAATTGTAAACATTTTACTAGTGATGGTTTTAACTTTTGGTTTCAACCAGCATTGTGATAAATAATAATGGATAAGTTTTAACTGTAAGAATTCCATGTACATTTAGACTGTTGTGTGATAGTGTTGCATTTTGTAAATAAATTTATTGTGATTTTTTCATTCAATTTATTTGGTTCTGTGTTGTCAGAATAAAACAGTAGGCCTAATGTGTTGATGGATATATTAAACAGTTTTCCTTGTGTAATTCAATGTTCCATCAGCATAAAGGTAGCCATCAGGGTATTAATACTATGTAGGCCTACTATGTAGCTAAATTGTTATGAAATTTTGAATTAAACACCTTGGGTACTTCGATACAGTACAATGCAGAAAAGAAGGTATACAAAATTGAATCCACATCCATTATTACATAGCATATGTTATTTAAATTAAATGGCACAGGTTTCACTTTTGTTTAACAGTGAATGATGAACGTCTTGTGTAGATTGGGCTTTTGTACTGTTTCTTTTCTCGTCTTTAGCTTGTTCTCCCTAAAAAATAGCACAAATTATATTTCAAATATTGAAAGTGTTTTTTTATCATACTGTCCGGAAAGCAGCTGTTTTTAGTCCTCTAAATCTTCAGCAAAATCATCGTTTTCGGGTAGCTTCAAAATAGGGAATAGAAAAAACATATGGTAAATTTATCGGTTCACTAACTTTAAAATCTTTTCAGTGCATTATGAAAACTCTGCTAATCATGATATTTAATGTTATGTTTGTAAACAACAGAAATATAAACATTGAGGACAACTTTATATAACCTCAAATCATGTGTTCTAATTTTGTAACAATTGGAAGGCTATTTCCACAGTATGATGAAAATAGTTGTTCATCACACGGAGCAAAAGTGTCTTTTTGGTACATATTTAAAACATGATTGCGCACCAAAAAGAGCCACTTTTGCTCCTAGTGATGAAAACGGCTATAAAAACCTTATACAAGGTTATAAAAACCTTGTATAAACTATAGCCATGACTATTATAAGAAAATGTTGGCTGCAAACAGTTGCAGTTTTTGTATCTAGGAATAGTTGCAAATAGTTAGGAAACACATTATATTTTTTTGTTGCCTTCATTCTTGAGCAAAGAGGTTTGTATTCACCCCAATGCAATAGAAACCTTAGGGTCGAGAACAAAGGCAACAAAAAAGGTAATTATAATTCAAGTTCTTGAAACTGGTAGGTACACAAAGTTAGAAAACAGTTTAGAAAGAGGTTCAATACGGGACTGTTTGTAATAAAGATCTCCAACTAGCTCCCGTCAGTTGCATGATAACTTGGCATTTTCTTTCTCCTTTGTCTCCCTGTGCAGGAAACATTTTGTAACAATTACAAAGAAAAAAACAACTTATTTCATAATTTAGTGAAAATGCAACAAGTTAAAGGTCTTATATAAATATAGAAGTAAAGAAATTTTTCAATTTCAATAAATTCTATAAAAATTGCCACAATGTGCTTTCCAAGATGATTTACATTCTGTCAGTCTTTGTCTGTACCAAATCTATCTTCATTCTACGCTCGTCCTTCACTCTTCTTCTTAAACTACGCACTTTGCTGTGTCAAGATCGTCTACCTCTTAGAGTCTTCAATATAGATACCAACAGAGAACAAACATTGTTTTTGCAAACTATTTACAAAAGATGTTTTTCACTGTGGATTTACTGGGTATTTTTTTCAATATTTAAATTAAATTACCCAAATTAAGATCGTATAATTAAATTATTTAAATTATAGTAGAGTATTTTAATTGCTCAGTTATAATTTTTACTTACCATGGATACTTTTGTTGAATTTCTATTATAGCCAGGCCCATGGATGACTTCCTGTAGTCTTTCCAATGCATCTTTACCTGTCAGATTCTGCAGCATAAAATAGCATCTCATTGTAAAGTATGAACGTAAACTGTTATCACCACTAATCAGAAAGGAGTGTAACTACTCGTATTGTTTTTTTTTTTTATTTAATTATTTAATCTTCATCTATTCATACTGCAATTGGTTTTATATTACCTGTCGTCAGTTCCAAATTACAGTTCCCACTACAATGAATTTTAATTAATATCCAGAGCGATAAAAGGACAGATACATTTGGCAATAAAATTAAACCAGCTATATTTACAACAAAACCCACTGGTGATGAATTTAGTTTACTATTCAAAAGTTTTCCCAGTTGAAGATCAGAAAACAACAGCTAGTAGTAGTAGAAACCTTAAACACCTCCCACTTGAGAAATATTATTATATAAAAAAATTACATACTTCTAGCTCCAACAAAAAAGCTGCTGAACACAAAGGATAACAAATAACAATTGAGGGTAATCAATTATAATCACAGGCCAGAGAAAGGGCAAGCTGTTCCCCTGAGGACGACAAACTTCAGTCCCCGAGGTCCCAGGTTCAAATCCAGCCAATCACCAATGGATTTCATCAAAGTGATAATACTTCAATCTTCAAGCCTAGAATGTGAAAACAATCCTGGGCTAAAGCCTAGCGTCGAAGGATGTGAGTGGACGAAAAAATCACTGGGCAGGAAAAAAAACCCTCGGAATTACTTACTTGCATCTCACAGGAGAGAACCTTGCTGGGTACCTCATCTCCCATCTCTTCGAACTCCTTCTCCGTCAAGTTGAGGTGGTTCTCGTCCAACATGACCTCGTGCAAGTGTATAGTCTCGGAGTGGACTACATCCTTGACTGGGACTATTGTGGATCTTGACATGTCACTGAACGACTTTCCTCCTGCCTCGTTCTCCCTCTAAACCCCCGTACATACATTTGTTGTTTTAATAATGTTTCTTGTGTTTCCGCTGAATTCTTTGGTCTTTCGGTGAGAGCTGTGTCAAATCGGTATTTGCAGTATTTACAAAACCAATAGCTTCACCAATTCTAGGATGCCTATTATAGAATGGGGGAAACATATGGTTTTGTAAATAGCCATTTAACGCAGATCTCACTGTAAGACCGAGAATTTAGTGATGACACCGGATGCTACAATCTAAGATTTTTAAGTTTTTTCTAAAAAAAAATAATCAAACTTCAAAGCTGTTTTATGTTTAAGTCTTACAATGAGACCTATGGTAATAGCTCATTCCCTATGGAGCACTTTCTAATAACACAAAAACTATGAAAAACTGTTGTAGAAGTTTTTAATGGTAACGGGTAGTGCATTATTCTCTGATATAATTATTTTACTCTCGAATTACAGTCCTACTTTGTTATGAAGAATTGCAATATTTATCAATGTAGGTGTTTGCCAAGTACTGTAGTTAGTTACTGTATTTTCACATAATTTAATCACTTATACTAATTGTACTTTTTCAGCTTCAACACATTTATATAGATTTGTAATACTTTACGTCATTTACATTAGTTTTAAACCATTATAGTAATGATGCTGAATATTTAGAACATATTCGGTATGCACACTTACTTTTTCAATCCACTTTTTCATCGGCACCACTAGTACTTCTCTCTTTTTAGCAAGCTGTAACATGCAAATACATGAGAATTAAGGGACCTTATTGTTCATCAGTACTGTTTATGATCGGATTAGTTACAATAAAATAAAATCTAACAATTTGACCGACAAGTCAACTTATGATTTATACAGTTTTCCTGGAATTTTGAAGCACATAATCTGAGGACTTTTTAATCTGCTCTCCGAGGGTCTTTATTCAAGACTGCATAAACAACAGACATATAATGGGTAATTTTATTCAAGAGAATATGCCTGTCCAATCGGCACAACAGCTACGAGCTAATGATACAAAGATACTAAAGGTTCACGAATGGAATCCCTTGCTAGACATTACTTCTGGACAACTTAACCATGACTCAGTGACTCTTACATTACTGGTGATATTATCCGTACAAGGCTTGGGAGAGTTGCACAGTTGAGACTTGCTGGGCATTTCTCCGCAGCACTCACTCGGCTCCGTGATGATCTCCTCGTCATCGGTCAGCGTCGGACTCTCCTTCACACACTCCACCAGCCTCGTACGAGTCCCGGATCTGAACAGACAGCCCGAGCACGGACCCCACTTCCACACCTTCCATCTGGGAAATGCAAAAAATACAAAAACCTATATTATTCAACTAGATGTTTTATTTTATTTTTATTTTTTTTTTTTTTTTGCCTCCTGATAACAATTTAAATTATTACTAGACGTTAAAATACCCTAATACGTCAATTTGATCAATGTCACCGATGAGCACAGACCGGTTTCAATCCAGCAATGAGGTCATCCTCAGGCGAGGAAAGACCTAAATCACTACAAAGAGGTTGTCAGAAAGTCTAAAAATACGTAACGAAGAACACTTAAACACCTTTTTGTTAAGTAATGTGTAATTTTTATGTTAATTTAAAAAAATGTGTTAAGTTTTCTTCTTTGCGTACGGTATTTTAAAACTTTTTGACGACCTCTTTGTAGTGAATTATGTCTTTCTTTGCCTGAGGTTTGGTTGAAACCGGTCGCCGCTCATTGGTGACGTTGATTACATTGACGGATTAAGGTATTTGGAGGTTTAAATAGAGAACATCATGCAATTTATACAATGTAGAAGTCTTAAATTCTTCATTGTAATTTGGACTACATTTTGGATGGTATATTAATCTATACAGCGTGTCCTAAAAGTAAAAGCCAATTCACAGGAAATCTTTCTATGAATCAATAAAAGAAAATCTTTTATCTAGATCTTGTTTGATAGGAAATTTTAAAAGTCAAACAAAAGCGTTTTTGACATTTTTTAATAAAATCCTATCCTATAACATACGTAGTTCCAAAGAGTAAGGAAAATTATCACCTTGTGCGACAAGGCTGGTCATTACAGGCTCTCGCTCTGGGTTCAGACTTGGGCTTGTCCTTACAATATGAATCTTTAACTTTTCCATCTCGCTCTTCCACACAGATTTGTTTCATAAGCTGTAAATAGATAATGCTCATCTTTTGTTAATTGGAACATCCTTAGAATACTAAACAAAACAATAATAAACAAATTGTTTTGCACTAATTCTGATTTTATAATGTATGTAGAAAGACTCTGTTGATAAGAAAGTGGTTTTAGGAATCTTAATTACACCGATTGTTACTTAGCTAATATTCAGCATTTCTATTTAATTAGTTCAATCATTTTGATTCTTGTTGTCCAAATCTATTTTGGAGGAAAAAAGTTTAGAAAAGGCTTATAATTATTCAAACATGACTATTAAAGGTGTGTTTTACTAGCTAGAGTTTCTCGAAACAACTGTTCACTCTAGGGTCAGATATTTACAGGGGTTTTCTTAGCTGCTGAATTCGGCAGGTCCTAAAAAAACGAAGGTTGTGCAAGATTTACAATGCCACAGCCATTTTCAGCAGCCAAATTCGGTAGCTAGGAAAACCCTCCTTTACACAATTGATTTACAGAAATAAATTATTTTGTAAGGTCAATTTTGTTTCTAAATTAGATCTGTGGTAAGTTTCCCTTACAAAAGGCAACTTTTTTTTCAATAATTCCCCCTTCAAACAATCATTTAAAAATTGCCATGTGTATTGCGATTGTGTTTATTTTAAATTGAATCCATGGTATATAGTACTTACTTTTATTTATTTTCTCATCAAAAGTCATTGCATGTGTTTAAGAATTTAAATCCTCATACATGACATTTCTGCTACTAACAAATTCTGTTATCAATTGTAGTTCTGGTGCAGAGGGTAACAGTTAAATGAGGTTCCACTGTAGTTACGAAAACACAAACACTTGTGATTATCTATACCAAAATACTCTGAACAAGTCTACACAACTGACCTGTGTGCCTCCCCCACATCGTGCTGAACAAGGACCCCAATCCGCAAACTCCCAGTGGTACTTGGGAGAGTAAGTTGGTTTCTCCGATGGAATCGAAAAGGAGTATTTCATCCCTGGATTAGTATCCTCAAAGAAGACCCCCTGAAGTAGAATTTATTTTGTTAGAACAGTAGGTGAAGAATCAAATCTCTGAAATCTCAACACTTTTTATCAAAACTGTGCTTAAATTACGTTAGTAAATAAGTCCTTAGAGTGTAGGTTTTCCCCATAAAGCTTGTCGGGGGTTCAAGAGACTGTTGTGTCTAAAGACGAGAGGAATTAGAAGATTCCCAAGAAAAAGGAACAAATAAATGAGGTTTTTTCTAGGGAACCTCCACAGGAATATCCTTGCAGACAATATCCTCAACCGAGCTTGTTCTAAGATAGCTTGTTCTAAGGCACGGCAGGTATCTAAAGTCTTCATCTGTAGAATTTCTATGTCCTCGGTCTCGGCACCAGCAGAGAATATGTCAGGATGAAAGGAATTAGATTCATAGTTGTGAGCCGATGCTTCACTGATCAGTGTAGTTTTCGACGATACGCCGCAGGAATTGATGCCATGTTCCGCGATCTCAGTGACTACCGCAATAACGGTCAACAGATGTTATACATGAGTTTTTATAATGAAGTTTATTGTAGAAATTTTCAATATAGATTGATCGTCCACATGAAAAAGTTTGTTAGGTAAATTAAAAATGAGTCTAATGTCTACCAAAAACGAATTGACTAAAACTAAATTAATCGTGGCCATACTGAAAATATTTGTAGGCTTATAGGTTTTTTTAACCTCTTGAACAAATCAAAGACCTCGAGCAATGCTTGGTCCCCTGGTACTCATTATTGAATTCCTTATGGTCTTAACAAAAATTGTGGATAAAACATTTTATGTTTGTTAGTTTACCCATAAAACAAGTGGTTCAACAATAGGTCCTTTTATGTGGATTTCACCTTTTTCTTTTTCTGGCTTTTCATGAACTCCTTTTACTCCTCCAAAATCATATTCTCCTTCCAAATATTCAGTGCTGCAATAATTCAAAATTTGAACATAACTATGATACTGTGGTTATAAAAACAGAGCGTTATGAGATTTTTTCAAAAATATTGGTTTTATTTAATTTTTACCTTTAAAACACGAGATTGTTCAATTTTTATAGGAACAAAATTTGTATGTTGAAATTAGTTATGTTAATTTAGTATGTTGAAGCGTAATTGTACGCAAAGGTTACAGAGAAAATTTAAAAAACTGTACATATCTGAAATTCCCATGGGAGAAAAGTTAACTGTTGTAGTTTGCTAGGTTATGGATATAAACAAATTTGGCATTTTTTTAAAATTTTATACTAAGCTATTAGCATTAAAAAAAAATGACTTTTGTCTTTCCTTGTGGCAGTAAATAAGTACACGTGTCCTAATGTCATTTAAATAGGGAACAAATTTGATATGTTTAAGGAAATATTTTGGTGAAAATCCAATCAGTGGAATGGAAATTTGCCTGCGGTTTTGCTGCAAAAGGGGTATATTTTTGTTTTGTTTTACTAACTTTGTACGTTTTTCTGATGGGTAATGGTCGTCAAAGGTTTTTTTGCTTGGTTCTTGATGATTACATAAAATTTTGAATACACCGGAGATTGCTATGTTAAGCATCTCCGTAATAGTGATTACATTTTCTGCTAACACATTTTTTCTGTTCTTCCAGGATCACAGAACATAATTACCAGCATATCAGTGTTTGTTTATATTAAAATAAACTTTATTCGTTACAAATGTTAAAATCGGATTTCACTTACTATCCTCCGTTTACGTAAAATGTTTTATTGTCTATTGCCGAGACAGCAATCATGTTCCCTGTTGGCTTTAACTCTTCAAAGTGAATATTTCTTGCTCCAGGGGGGACTACAACTAACTCAGCATAACCTGGTGAAGAGAATGAAAATATTAGGTAGGTGCATATACAAGTTAATCTATAAAAAATGTACTATATTTATTGACTCATGGACAACAAATAATTTAGTATTTACAATTAGAATGATACTATGTGAAAATTGGTGTTGAGAATGAATACTTAATATCTCAAAATCAAATTTCAACTTTCATTTCGCTGTTTGCAGAATGATTAGATTTGTTCAAACCAACAAACCTTTTTTAAGCATTTTTAAAAATTAATCTGTTGAGACTGCAATCAATGCAGAAATAATATATTTATTATTTGGCAGATTCTAAATTAATTATTTATATTGTGAAAACCAAAAACACACAAAAAACATACAGTATTTGGTTGTTGAGTACATTTAAACTGTCATTTTTGTTGCTTTAACCATGAATATTTTTCAGGTGATAATGAAAATCACAAATAAACAGTTCAATCAGGTTGTACCACCCACCTTTCTTCGGGATAGTTTTGATTGTTTGATCAACAATGGTGCAAAGAGTTCCATCTCCTTCACAGTCCCCGCAAACATCTTCTACAGCATCAGAGAAGAGTTTCCAGTCACATCCGACAGCCTGAACCAAAATAGTTAATGAAATGAAGATAAACCTATTACGCATGTCTTTCTGTCAGACGAGCTCTGGTGTAACTTACACCCTTGCAAACCCTGTTTTACAGGTGGGGAGGGGGGGGGGAATTACAGACAACCTTAAAACTTGTAAAATTGTGTTCTAAATAGTACATATTAGAGGTGTGCGTGCTGGAGCTGATCCCAGCCTTAAAACCCTAGAGATCGAATACCAAGTCATAAAATCAAGTTCAAGCCGAGTTTTTACAGCATATCAAGATCGTATGATTTAAATCTCACGCTTTTCTGATGGAGGACGACAATAAAGAGAAGATGATGATGTCTACATGACATGATCACAGAATACGTCTAAGATCTTGCCACAACCACTGGCAGATGATAATGTCCACATGATTGTAGTGGAGTCCAGGATTTTTCTACAATTACAGAAGACAATAGTGGTTTTTCCAGGATCGCGGAAGACGTAGATGATGTCCATACGACCAAGGGAACTGATCACAATACTACTGTGATAACATAGTGATGAATTTAGTGATGCACCAAATTTAAGATTACAAAATTTGATACTTCTTTTCTAAATACATCATAACATTAAATTGTATTTTGAACAGAAGATTTGTGACAATTTAATTTATACTATGTGGTACTAAGTCAAATTAATTATTTTAAAAAGCTTGGCTTGAAAAAAACTCAAGCTTTATCCAAAACATCAGTTTCATTAAGATTCTGAGGTTTGCACACTTCTAGTACATACATAATTCTCTTTTAAATGTGTATTCTATTATTATTACTAGCCCACCAGTTAACAGCGGAAGTCTTTGTAGTTTATTAGCGGCGTTTTAATTTGTTTTCCAGAAGTATTTACCTGGCTGGAAGAAAAACACTAATGCAAGTCACTTAGTTTATAATTTCTAATTCATCATCATTGTACATTTTTCCTCTGAAGAAGCCTGTATGGGGTGAAATATCAAGTTTATTGTGTGTTGAACTTTCTTTCTGCTCTCAACTTCCTGAAACTTTTTTCTTTGTAGGTTAGTTGTTTATCCATTTCTTCTTCCTTAATGTATTAATTTATAGTTTAAAGTATGTTATGTACCAAACAAGAGCCTTGAACACAAGTGTCCTTGGTGCCACGTTTACATCGAGTCCCGTCTTTAACTCTGGGAGCGAGCTTGGTGAATACGTTCTGCTCGTTGATACAGTACAAGGCACAGGGATTTGCTGGAAATAAAAAAAGTATTTACAAATACAATAACTTATACAGCAAATTCAAGATTTAGAATCAAGTGTTGCAGTAAAACCCCTCTCAACCGCATCTGGTTAAACCAAAACCATAATAAAATATCCAAACAATTTGAAAATCACCTAGGCAATAAAAATTGCCAATGAGGTTCGGTAGTTGGCTAACAGAATGAAATGGAGCAAGACGACACAGATCTCTTACTGTGATAAAGATGAAGTTTTATCAATTTTCAATTATTTTAAGAAATATATTTTGTTTATTTAGTTGTACATTTGAAGATGACACAAATTATTATAACGTAAACTGTTGAACATCTCTTTGAACCTAGCCTTTAAATTTAAACCATTGATTAACTGTTAAACTGTCATCTTAAACTACCTCGCTCCCTTTATTTTATCAGAGTTTTACTGTATCTATTGGGGTTGAACAAAAATAATAAACATAATTAGTAAGATTGGTAATCAACAAAAACATATAACTTACGATCTGAGTCTGGTGGATCAAATGGTTTCCAAGTATGTATCAATCCCTGATATGCTTTATCATCAAACTCAGAGCATTGTGTTGCTTTGAATGCAGGCCCTGGAGGACAGTCCTTAGAAGGAAATAATAGATGCAATAATGAATTAGTTTAAACTCTACTTAAAATTTTATTATTTGCCTAAAATTAAAACATTCATTCTAGTAGTGAATATCAGGATTAAAATGTCTAAACAATAAGATTATCAGGATTGCAAAAAAAAATAAAATTAAAAATCTAATTTGTAATTTGAAAAATCTTCCAAAGCATCCATTTCTTCGTTCTATCTTCTCTAAGCAATGGTTTACGGTATGACAATGACGATGTTCAAGGGAAATGACTCCAAATCTACCTTTTACCTTCCTTTTTAGATATGCACTAAATATCAACAGGTTCTCCTCACTCCTTAACGGCTATAAGTCACTGAAGTGTGGAGCCTCCAGCAACAAGGTTGCAAATAAATAAAGTCACAGTGACCTGACAGCAGTAGTTGCGGAGCTTCGGTCGCCAAGTTATACCTGTGTATTGCACATTGCGTATTCATGCCGCTGGCCGAGGCAGTAGCGTCCCTTGTGCTGCGGCTGTGGGTTGTCACACTTCCGTTCCCTCACGGACACTCCTCCGCCACAGCTGCGGGAACACTCGCTCCATCCCTTCCACTCTCCCCACTCTCCGTTGACTGCTGCCAGTCGCTGTCCCTGAGCCACACACTCCTTGTTGAAACACCACTGCAATGAGAAACATACTCAGAATAATGATTAACAACTTATTTTTGATTATTTTTTACCTTATTTCTGATATTCTTTACCTTGTTTGGGCCGCAGTTTGTTCCTTCCGCAGGTGGATCTCCCAGAGACATCGTAGAAGCTGCGTCTCTCGTCTTACACCACAACTGGCTACACATCTTGTCCTGAGGACAAAATCATCTCTCAAAATTTTTTTGTTCTATATTATCCGTCATTTAAATATATTTGGTCTTAATTGAGTAAAAAGTTGTGTTTGAACCTATCCCTATACACAATACCTTAGTATATATCTTATCACCTGAAAACTCTTTTTGACAAGAGCTCAAGTAACATACAAATATTTGGTTGAGCCAGGGTTGAAAAGAGACTTTTGCCATGTTTTATTAATATTTTTTGTAATATACTATTTGTTTAGGTAACTAATTTACAAATAGAAAGTGTCTTGTATTTGTACCATTATGAATTAGCTACCAAAATGGTTTCCATCGTAGTTTGTTAAGATAAACCCACATTTGTTAACGTTAATAGATATAGTAGAAAAATAGAGTAGATAAATAGTCAATACTATTACTTAAATACCAGTATAATGTCTCCGACGCAATAATGAATGAAAATTCCTAACAGCAAAGCAGTAGTATTTGCGGTTTAGTACATAAATGTTTATACTGTATAACACAAGTGATTACCCCTCCTTGGTCGTAATGCATGTAGTCTGGCCCGAACAGGAAGGTACATTGTTCATCAGCATTGTAGAATGCTCCGGGCGGCATCTCGTCCAAGGGGAATGCATGGTCCTTGGGCTCGTCCAGCATACACTCTCCCATCTGGGAGCTGGAGAAAAGTTGAGTACTTGTTAACTATGTAACGACATATACTCAGTTCTAATGAGTGAATCTGTAGAAGTAAAATAGTTTTCATTTTTTAAACTCTACACAACAATTAATTTGCATCAATACACAGTTGATATACACAATATATCTCCAGCAGAAAAGAAATAACTTGAACTTGGGGAACCTCATTCTGTCAATATTGGTCATTCTCACCACTTACGAAGGAGTCAAAATCTTTTTGGTTCACAACGGGCCAAGACCCATTGATCATTGGGCTTATCTTAAATGCTCATGATTAAGAACCAGCTGATATTAAGGTTTAGTTACAAAACTGTCATGTCATCTGTTAAACACTCATCACCCTAAAATACGCACCCTGCTGTTTTAGTATTATAAAAATCTAATCCAAACCAGTTCTAAAAATGTTCTTTTTTACATAGAATAATTCGTTCAAACAGTAAAACCCGTTATAAATATAATTCTCATACTACGTCCAAAAGTGATGTATAAAAATGTTCACAAATCAAACACACTACTTTTAGCTTTGCAATGAATTTACTTAAATCAAAGTGGAGTGAAATAGTTGTCGAAGGTTGTAACGTATACTCGGTATGAATTATTAGATTTAACGCATTGATTAGACATTTTGTTAGATTTGTTGTAAAAGTATACACACTCAAAGAGTCCAGTGATGAAGCCTCGGGAGCAAGAAGACCAAGCACTGGTAGCGCCAGTCACAGTCGGGTTCATGACCGTAGAGTCACCGCCCGGCGCCACCGCCTCACAACCACTCTCATCCGGCGCATCGTGAGTACAACCCAGTCTGTAGACAATCATAAGCACCAGTGAGCTTAATTGTTTGGTTATAAACTTGATTAATGCCAATGTATATTGTTGAAGTGGGCACCATAACGTCGCAAAACGTTATCTTTATCACAACAATTCTAAATTCACAAGAGTAAATAAATTTATTCCACATCAGTGATAAATGATATACAGTTTATATACTTAATGTATTGATATATATTATATTGGGAAAACAAACAATACTTGGTTTTGTATTAACTATAAACCAATTATAACCACAATAAGCTAACAATATTTTGTAGAGCATATACCGATAATCATAATCATATTGTGTTTATTCTTTGTGTACAAGGAATGGTACAATTTGTTACACTAATGGTATTGAATCTAATCATGTATTCAATTTCCTAAAGGTCTCATATAATTCATCATCATTATCAATTACCGTGGGTAATTCATATACAGTATCAACTTGTATTTATATTTCACAATTTAAATTTATTACTATCTTTAATTTAAACATTGGTTTTCATGTAGTTAATAAGGAGTATAATAGCATTTTGTATATTTATTTGTGAAATTTTACCATTATGTTAAACTTAAAATCATACAACAAAATATTTAAATTAATCTACACTTTGAGTATGACATGGTTTTAACAAGAGAAATGCTGTGATAGCTAAGAGATGACCTTTTAAACTCTTTTAAGACATCATCACTCTCACCCTTCCTCCCAATGACTTAAAAACATGTTCTGTATAATATCTCACGTGTGACCAAGCTCGTGCGCTGTGGTGACTCCTAGTATCAGCCCTGCGTCCTCGTTGATGCAGCAGTTCTGCGTGTCCGAGCAGGCAGAGCCCAGGTTGGCCAACCCGAGCAGTGAACACGAGTTGTCCTCCTCTGAGCAGATGTCGTACCTACACTGTCAGTCTGTATCAATACAACATGATAGCAACAGTTGTGGAAGGGTGTGGCCAGGTTGGCTAGTCAGCAATCACTTAGGGCCACTAAACAACCTCTGAAACTCTGATTTGTTTTTACTAGTGATTAATAAATAATGCCTACTAATTCTTAAAAAGACAACAATAATATCTTTGCGATATAGAAGGATGTTAAATTTTTCCAAAATGACAGGAGATGATGATGATGTCTTTGTGGTTGCAGTGGATGTACCTACTATCGTTACTATCCTGCGTGGGGACATCATTATCACCACCCGCCATGATATCCTTGATAGCGGCGAATTTAAGAACATCTTCCACAATCGCAAAGACATCATCATTGTGTCCCGTTATTGCATCAAAATTAGTAACATCATAATTGCAAAGACACCATCATCGACTCTCGTGATCGTGATAATATTCCCTGAGATTGGAAGCCATCATTATCGTATCCCACAATTGTTGTAAAATTGAGAAAATCAAATTTGATCGCGGTGACATAATCATGAATCCCCTGTTGATTGTGGAAAATTTGTTTAAATCTCCCTTAATAACGAAGACAATATCGTTGTATCCTCAATGATCTCACAAAATTGTTGATATATATCCGTCATGATGGCAAATGTAATTATCGATTCCTGCTATTTAGACAAAGATCAATGTCATCATAATGAAATTTTAGTACATGAAATATGCCGAAGGTACATGAAATAAGTCATTCAAGGGCTAGAGTCCCGGGGCCCTCGGTGATTGCCCACTAGCAAGTTTGGCCAGACTACTCTTGAGTGAATGCAAACCAATAAATGTAAACTATATAAATAAAAAAATATAATTTATCATTCCAAACAGGTGTTTATTGCTAAATCTTTTATTGCTAATTCACAATAATTATTGCAATAACTAATATTCGTTACTGTATGCACAAACAATTTTAATTTTTGCCAAAAATTATAAGATAGGTATTGTAAATATTATGAATGTAACATTTATTTAACACTACTCAATAGGGAAGTATTTTTCACAATGATTAGGCCTACCTGGTAAACAATACTGCAATGTCATGATGGTTAGGATGGTTGTGGTCCTTAGGGTTCATCTTATTCTGCCACTTACAGAAGCTACTCAGCGTGTTTTCACCTCTTGTATTGATTTCCAGGTCTAGCTGAAACATAAAACATTCAAGATCCATCTATACAACTACAGGGTGGCCGAAAAGTCCCTTTACACAATATTGCAGTACATATTACACTGTTTAAACGTGACTGATCAGCAAATATTCATTACTTGAGTAGTAGGGGAACAGTGGGGGTAGAGAATAAGGCCTCACCTTCCTTCTCAACCATCGCGACAGCCCTAGGACGCGGTGACACCCAGTAGAGAGTAAGGGCGTTTGCACGAGTCACCCCGGAAATGCTGAAATAAAAGAGCCAACGAACTTGGCGTCGAGTCAAGCTTTGCCGAGACAATGGAGGTATGCATGCCGATGTTTTGGACTAAAATGTTGTTTACTGGTGTAGTCTACAATAAATTTCAGATTAAAATAGATTTCTATGATTTTAATCAGGTGTAGTCTACAATAAATTTCAGATTAAAATAGATTTCTATGATTTTAATCAACACCAATTGAGTTTACCTTTAGTGTACAGGGACTTTTCGGCCACCCCGTATATATTTAACTCCACAAAACTGACTGTCCTTGACTATTCAGTTGTATGCAAATAAAATGGTAGATATTGGAAGGGGTCTCATTTTAAATAACTATGACTAATATTTTGGGGGATACTACTTTATCATTATTTATAATCATGAAAAAAAAAACTAAATATACAAGAATAACCTTGTAAAAGAAATAATTTGTGATTCAAATTAATCCAAAATACAATACTGTGTAAAAATATTGAAAAATATGAGACTTCTTTATTTATAGTTATATCAAGTAACTAACTGTCATACCTCATTCTCTTGTTTTTCAAGGTAAACAATCCTGACAATTGTAATGTCAATGAGATTTCCAATGCTGGCATCGTGATAAAAATCTGAGACCTGAAACATAGCAAAATATATGTCGGTTTTGACACTCGATCGTCATGCAATATAACATACTCAACCTGTACAATTTTACTGTGAAACTATCCCTTTCTGACAAACAGTGAAAATACCCAGAGTCGATGTTAAAGAAGGCAATAGCCGTTATCGCGTCAAAATCCTTAACCCTCTTGCGGAGGTTTTTTTCATCATCTCCAGCGATCATGGAAACTTGTCACCGTTTCCCACGGTCTCGGCAAAATCTTGTATGTCTTCCGAGGTCTTGAAGTCATCAACATCGTCTCCCGTGGTCACGGAAAACAACGTCACCGCTTTACGCGATCTCGCTAAAATATTGTACATCTTCCGAGGTCTTGAATTCATCATCAACGTCTCCTGCGGTCACGGAAAAACATCATACCAAAACTCAACAATGCTGGTATGATTTTCTGTCAATTGTTTAAGCCCATACTATTTAAAAAATTGCATTTAAGAATAACCAAATGTAATATAACATTCACCATGTTCATGATACAGATGATGTATTCTTCGACATCATGGTCTTTGTGAAACATAAGGAACTTCCTGTCAGCCACGACCATAGCCTCGTACCATCGTTGAGTGGTCACTCCGACCTCCGAGCGCTTCTCGAGTGCCTTTGTCTCCAGCATCGAGCGCAGTCTACTACACCACATGGCCCACCAGTCTTCAGGTGCTTTAAAAGTATACATCGGTAGACGTGAAACATATATTTATTGAAATAAACAAGACATTGTTGATTCTAAATTGGTGCCATAAAATTAAGTTCCAAAAGTATAACTTATTTGAAAGCAAAAAAAATTATTGTTGGATTTATTTTAAATGTATATTAACTTGCCCTTTTATTGTAGGCAAATTTGTTAGCCCACTGAAAATGATTCATAAAACAATCATAGTCGGGAAAATTTGTATCAGCAACATAGCTAAAAATTTCAATAGTACCACAACAATAGTACCAATTTCAAATGGTATGTATTTGGCAAAAACTTGATAATTCATTACTGACCTCATTGACAACCCGATACTGTATTTAAGAGACTCGAGTAAACATCACGAAAAGTGTTTTTTTTTTAGGGGTGCTATAAGACAGCAAACACTAAATATACTAACTACATTATATTGTGTTTTGAAAAACCGTAGTCAAAGTTTGATAAACAATAATTATGCCAAACTTGTGTAACAGAAATCTTTAACTTCTGACCTCTCCTATCATTCTTATTTCATTCACTAGTTTAAACTAAAGTGATTTCCATCCGGTTTAGGACTGGGTAATTGACACCTGGCACTCACTCTCAACAGAACAGTCTTAGTAGTACTGAGTGAATTCCAGAACTAAATGGTTGTTTAATCTATCTTTTACCTCCTTTAACATTGCATGTTTTGTTGTGGGAGTTGTCGAGGGATCGTTTGTACACAACGTGGACATGTTCTTCCCCCTCCTCTGGACTATCTCCGTGCACTGGCTCGACAAAAAACAATCCATCCTTGGTGCGTACGTATCCAACCTGTATGAATACAAACGATAACATCATTTACATTCCAGAAAGAAAAGAACCCAGCGTAAAGGTGACATAACTAAAATTAATAAAAACTATCAATGGAAATGATCCCCATAAAGACAGTTGATGTGCGTTTTGGAAGATTCTTCATTGTTGTTTACTTTGCACCCAAGAAAAACTCCTGAATGAGTAAACTATAATCTTAATAAAAATTAAAATCAGATATATTTACAAATGTACTGTTACTGAAAAAGAAAGAAAATCAATGCCCTATGTGATACACAAAACTCATAGTTTAAACAATTAAAAATGAAATTAAATTGAATGAGTACATTAGTACTGGAATGACAGGCTGGGGCCATATCAAATTGTTCCCACCGCTACTACTGGCATAAGTCTGGGACTTATTTTCCAGGCCACTTTACGGGGAAAAACATTCTTCTCAGACTTTGGCCATTTTCAATCCTCTTCTGCATACTTTATATTTCCCTAAACCTGAACAGCACGTCTCGCCTCCCACTACCACCCTGAGCAATTGGGATCTTTGGGATTCCCTCCAACTTTTCCCCTCCTTACTGGAATGAGATTCCCCTACCACCCTGACTGTGCAGCCATGTAGCCTTTCTACTAAAAATCAGAATATTCACTGATAAATCCCAAAATTAGTTTTAATGTAATTGGTTTCCAACATTTACATGCCAGTAAAATACGGTTGAATAAGAAAAATCACCCCAATACTAGGTTTAAAATGGAACTAATGTCATTACATTATGAGATGCGACAATAATATGACTAGTTAGAAGTATCTGTAAGTTGTTTACCAATCCGTCGCAGCCAGACAGAGCGACTCTTGAGCCAGGTTGTCCACGCACAGAGCCTCGGTAATGGCAGAGATGTTTACGTGGCCGTTGGAACGTAGAACCACTCACGTCTCTGCTTCCTCTTCTGGTTTCCACCATCATTCCTGACAAAAAAGATGATGATACAATTGGAAAGACTAAAAACTGTTGTAAAGTCTTCAAAAGCATATAATGATTTTTAAGTTGCTGTCAAAATTGATTGGATACATCTATCACACCTCCCCATCGACACATTATTGAGGATAAAATAGACTATCAGTCTTTGAAGGTCTTTCGAGAATTTCGTGTAGGACCAGGATCATGATATTACAAAAGTTGGATTTTTCAACTTGTTCGAGAGTCTAGGGTACTAGATATGCTTACCTGGCGACGTAACATGAGGGTTAGGTTCCAGCTCTAGGATATGAGGCTGTCCGTTGATGTCCAATCTATAGTAGACTCTTTCACCATCTAGATTGCGCTGTAAACACCCAAAGAATTAAAACGAGTAAAATACTGACAAACTCTATTACATCCATTACTCTATGTTACACAACATTTTTGGAGGATGAAATTCAAAGGTATATATTGATATATAAATTAATACAATTAAGTTTTTTCAGTATAAAAGAATTAGAAACTGACCCAGAAAATTTTGTTTTGCCATATTAATTAATACATTCTAGGGAATATTTTTGATAGGCCTAGTCAAAATTAAAAATTAACTATAAGGAGCTGTGGGTATATAACTGAATTAAAAATGGGACGAGCACTGTGAACAATTACGGCACACAGCTTCTATTGTGTTGATCGTAAGTAGTATTAGTTCACTCTCTATCACTCATGTACTTGTCACACTTGTACTTGTTCACCATGTGTTCACTATCGTTCACCAAGATCTAGGTCGGAAAGAATGATCATTTCCACATCTTTTTTTCACAACCTACCACTATTGAACAATATGCTAGGTATTCTATATGTGTACAGTACACACACATTAGGTACGGTAGCCTATATACCTATTACAAAAGTAGTCTTACCTTTTTCCTCACAGATGGTTCATAGTAATGATTCAAGAAATGTGAATTGAACGATTCGTTTGAGTGAATTTTCTGAGGGACGACTACGTGAAAATCTTTTATATCCCGTGTATAGCGGCCTATAAAAAAATAAATAGAAAGCCTCAACCCTAAGAACAGTTAAAAACACTTCTAAAATTTATGAACAGACCAACGCATACAGTGGATGACTTGTCCAATGTCATGTTGGATTTGTCAATTGGTCTTATGAACTGAAATTATAGTAACCCTCCAAATACTATTAAAGACTGAAGACAGACGAGGTACCATATTTTGTTGTGTATTTGTAATATTGTATATTTTTAGATTTTAATGACGTAGCTTTTCCTAAAAATCTGTAAGAATAAATGGGTAATGTTCGGTAGCAATAAATTAGAAGTACATGTAATAAAATAGGTACCAATTTAGATAGGTACCTACTATTGTACTGCCTTTTGTGTAAATGCTATAAATCAATTAGTTATCAATACATACAAACCATTAACAATTATATTCTACTCGGTACCTACCATGAACAACATGGATTTCAGTTGTGGGTTCAACATTTACAGTACATGAACCAATTAGAAAATTAAAATTAACTAATATTGAAGCATAACAGAGTTGTAAGAAAACTAAGTTCAGCACCATTATTTCAAATTACACTCTTAAAATGTAAACATAAATTGAAAAATTATTAGAATTTATAATTTTTTGAAATTTTAGAACTGTTTTGTTTTGTTTCACAGCTGTAAATTTGATGGTAAGGCTGAATGATCACATGATAGGTAGTTAAAAAGAACAATAGTACATTATCAGACAGCTGAAAAACGTTTGGCAGCACACCTGCGCAAGCTAATATCCAATCAATCAATTGATGTTTTACCAGCGGTTTCATCAAAGATACTAACGAAGAATCAATAATCAAGAATTGTTATATATCAGGTGCTGTAATTGTATTGTTTGTATTTATTATAGATTGTGGTATGATGTATTCATTGTAAATTGCACTAACCGTTGATTATCAAATAAAAAATTGTAATAAACAATACCGGTAACTGGTAACTTAAAGAAATGAAAAACCCTATGAAATGAAGAAAATATCTATAACAGATATTGGGCTATTGTTATATCTTGAAGAAGTGATTGTTGCAATGATTGTGTGCTGTCAGCTGCCATGTTGCCATGGGAATAATTTCTTTGGATTCACGTTTTATTTATTTAGTTCCAGTACCTACAATGGATTAAGTTACCCTGAAAAAAATTGTCCCCACCACAAGGACACTGTTTTTTTAGCAAATTTCTAATATAGGGAATATGCTATTACCGTTGTAGGTCTCATGGTAAGACTTGGACCCGGTACCGATTTACTTTTTCATTTTGATGTCACTAGAAGTCAAAAACACCATCCATTCAAATTCATATATATATATTCATATATTCATAACCTTATATACTGTATATGTCGGTTAGCACATCTATCTATTATATTATTAAAGTGATACAATCAAATTTTAACGGTTAAGGTAATTTACCAAATAAAAATATAGGCATATGGCACATCAAAATGAAGCTTAGAGTATGTAGATTTGCCGAAAAGTATTGATATGGATGAATTTCTTAAGGGCTCTGCCACACAGGCTGATTTCCAAAGGGCTACGCCTGGCATGCTTCTAAAGTTTAGATGATTTAATTTAATTTATTTAATGAAACAGCTGGTCAGTACAATGAACTGGTGTTTGTTTATTTACTCGAAAAACATGTTTGTGGCGCTCTATGTAGATTGAGGAGGGTTATGTTTGGTTTTAAAGAAAGGTTGTATACGTTTTGTAAAGTATTGCTCAAAGTTTCATTTTGTAATTTTTTAAATAAGCTACGTATAAAGAGGCTTGACTAAAATTGAAGAATTATGGTAAAAGATGTCATTCATGAAGCATCAATATGAAGCAATTGATGCTATTGCTACACTAAGGTATGTAGTCATGTTCTTTTGGATCTATTAACATTAAAAGTAGGGGTTTGAAAGTAAGTAGGTTTACACTTTTGTTAACGATTATTCGATATATAGTTGTTTAGTTAGAGGTAAGGTTAATCTAACCTAACCAACCAAACGATATATCAAATTAAACAATCGAATAATCAATATTACTCATTCGGTTGTTTGTGCCAACAGATATGGAAGTGTACCCAAATCAGTTTATATTTTCATACTAAATCATAGAGTTGTTGTATTTTAAAACACACATCGGCACCACTTTAATAACTTTCTGGGTCACATTTTCTTCCCGTTGCAACGCACGGGTATAGCAGCTTGTACTTATTTAATACGCAAGCATGTTTTTTGTGACAATTACTCCTCCTAAACTACTGAACCGATTGACATGTTTTTGGTGTCATTGGAAAGAGCGTAACATGAAGTTGTGCAGGAAACTTTCTTTTTAGGGAAATAATCAGAGAGTGAGGACCTGGGGCCCTTTAAAGTTTCGTATTTCTCCATAAGATTAACATGGGAAACAAAAATTGTTATGTAACTCCAGCTGTTGTCAGAAATTAAAAGTGAGAAGAAAAACATATGTTAATTTTAAACAGTCGATAAGTTTGCTAATTTTACAGTTTGCTACAAACATTTACTGACATGGTTGAAATGAAATATTTACTATTTGAATTCGGGTTGGCGTAAATATTTCAATGGAAAAGCGAGAGAGCCTGGATAAATTAATATATTCTGTTATGTTCATCTTGAATATTTCCATAATCTTTTGATCGAATCTTTTAAAGTGATCAGAAATTATGAACGTTATTCCTTTTAAAACAACGACTCTAATACTTAGAAATTGCTCGAATTCGAGCAACAAGGACACTAGTATATTATATTTCACTGTAAAAAAAACCTGAGTTTATTACTAAATTTAATTCTAAATTTAGTTCTGAGAAATCAAACACAAGATAACATTTTTAGCTTTTTTTATTCATCCCAACGAATTGTTTCTTAAAGTCCATGGTCGTGTATATGGATGTAGCATGGCCGCCTTTAACTCCAGGCCGCGGCCGTCGAAGTGGCAACGTCGCAAGTAGGGTTGTAACAGCTGTGTTTTGTTTTGGGAGAAGCTAATGGTATTTGTGTATTTAAGAAAGCTTGGTTACTGGTCTATGACAATATTGACTTTGCTTGTACAGATACAAATTTTCAATTCATATTTTTTTGGTTTTCAATTCTGTAGGCCTATGTTTTATTTTCAATATTTTAATAAATTTATGTTCATAAATTTTAATTTTAATCAATAAAGTGTGAATAAATGAGCTGATGTCCCCTGTCTGCCATGTTATCTTATGGTCTGACACTAAACAACCCTACTTGCGTCATTGCCAATACTACCAGGCTGCGGCCTGGAGTTGAAGGTGGCCGTGGACATAGTCCTGCTGCCGGTCAAAAATAAAAAGAACAAAAATGATGTGATTATAATTTATAAAAAAAAAATAATTATAAAATACTATAACTAAAATATTAAAACCCTTTCAGACCCAGTACACTCATAAAATATAATTTTCTAATAAATGTCTACATAATAAAGCCAAAATCTAAAAAAAAAAATAAATAATAAAATTAAATTTAAAAAAACACTGCCCAGGCATGTACTGTATATGGAAATATCATTTCTCGGACTTTAAGAGGGTTCTACCACTTCTACCAACCACTACCACAGTAAAATTTTAATTTTGGAGTTTTGAAATAATGGCTCTCTAAAGCCGGAAGGAAACCAGGTTGAGTTTCAGTTTCGAGAACAGACTGAACACCTGGACTATTAGTTCCGATTTCCTCCGATGAAAAGAGAAGTTTAGTAGAGCGCTGATGTTCGTTAAGGAGTCCATTACAGGCGTTAGTGCTTTACCTTGCAATTAATAATATTTATTGCATTTACAGAGCAAGTAATTTGGTAGAAGTGTTTATGGTGAACAATATTAGTTGTTACAGTGATAACAAGTTAATTTGTAGAATGTTTTTATCCCCAAACTAGTAAAATAAGGTGTTCTTTCTTACCCGCCATTTTGTTCAACCAGGAGTGTTTATGGAGAACGGCGAAGATTCAGGTAAACAAAAGTCAATATTTTGGTTTTATCAACAAAATGATTAAGCTCACCGTTACTTTCGTTATTATTTGAATAACTTCGTTGACATTATTAGTGGTTGATTACATTACATTATTTTAATGCGTATTGATAAACGATCTCACAAGAGAAAATACATTCTGTTACGAATGTCAATGTTCGATGAGAAATGTAAAAGCTGATTTATTTATTCGAACCAGTTAGTATAGCCTACATTATTATAATTTTTTCACCTAATAGTCACATGTATACGCAATACATTGACCCATAATAGTGAAAACCACAAGATTTGCAGTTTAATGAAGCGTTGTATTGCCTGAAACATGATTTGTGAAATTTTAATAGCAAGTTTGAAAGGTCAATCTTTGATTCCTGATTGGTGTCTGCTAAAATGGTGACTAGAACCAGAACCTAGCCTAGACCTGTAACTTACTAACTTAGCCTATCAAACAAATAAGTTATTGTTTTCAAATTTGATTCTAGGCCAAATCCATAAATAAGCTAAAGTTAGTGTTAATCGATGAATTTAATTTGATAGGTACCTAACAAAATAATGATTTAGGCTTAACTTAACTTAGTTTAGGCCTACATGTCATTGCTTAAGTAAGTTAGGCCAGTCAAAAAATCCATGCTCTTAGGTCTATAACCTGAGTTAGTGACCATGGGAACGTAGCCTATGGATCTAAATTAAAACCTAATGTATACGTCCTAACTTAAATAACTAGGAACTATAGGCTATAACTTATGGCTGCACTTTACTTGACGTCCTACACTCATTCGAATGAAAATATCGATCAATATATCGATTAATCGATTGCTTCATTCAATATATCGTTTGGTTAGTTGTAAGGTTAACCTAACGATATACACTAACCACGATATATACTAACCAAACGATATATCGAATGAAACAATCGAATTAAAATATCGAATCGAAAAAAACAATTGAATGAGTGTAGGACGTCAAGTAAAGTGCAGCCTAACTTATGGCTATAACCAACTTAATAAGGTTAACTTAAATGCTTTTTGACAAGAACAAAAGGTACCTATAACCGAAGAAAGAATGATATTGTAGCGGAAGCGTGGAGGAATGTAGGTAGTGCTATAACACTCCGTCAGTGACACCATTGAGTTTTACTCCGGGTGCCGTTTTTATAGGTAGAAAAATATATGATATTGCCATCCGGCAACTTTAGGAGTAGGCCTACCATAACAGTAGCTGCCTAGACCTCATGTACACCTTTCTAGGAACCAATTTAAGGACATAATTTTATCTCACACCTCCCCCGCTAAACCTCTATTAAGTTTTATTCAGTTCCGAAGAGCTGCTTAGCAAGGCACCTGGCCATTAAGTGCAACATTTAATTTAGAACGAACTAAGTTTTTAAAGTTACATTCGGGTGGTTTTTTACTAACTTAAATTGAAACAGCCTGGAGGTTAACAACTTAGTTCTAAATCTCAACTTTAAGTTAAGTTACCTTATCCTTATCCAACCTAACTTTCTCAGCACTAAATTAATCTTAATACAGTCACAAATGCGGAACAGCATTAGACCTATCTTCTGGAATCAAGCTCGTGGTCATCAAGCGGAATTTTGAAATGTCATACAGAGGTTAGAGTAGAACAGTGTCATTCCATTACTTAAGTACAATCCATTGCAAAAGATGACAAGTAACTAACTTATTTTTAGCGTCTACGAAGCCATAGGCCTAATCATGCCACTTACTACTCTGCCAGGTTTGCGTTATCATTTCATCTATAGGCTGATCAGCGTAATTACCGTGAATGTTTTGCATTTAAATGCATTTTTAACAATTAACTTTGCCGATCTTCCAAGGTAGCCTAGATGAAAATCAATGTCCTTGTGCCGCTTGATGATGCCTCTTTGCAGAACTGAAACTAGTTGCTTCATCTGCAATTTTATATAAATTGTCTATCTGTAGGTATTTAAACCATTAAAAAATATTTGACCTCATTGACAATTTGGGGGCTAGTATCTACAAGGAAATTTATTCTTCTCACTGTACCTGGATCAGTTTATATCATTCAACCCTAAACAGTAGGGTAGGCTATATTCCTGTATATTTCTGTAACAACGTTTAACTCGTCTCCTTAAGTTAGTTGCTCACATTGGCCTACCAAATCTTCATAATTCAAAATAATTATGCTGCCACATATAGTAGGCTAGGTCTATATTTGTTGTGTAACTTGTTTAACGATTTACTATAGTACCTATATTTTTAATAGGTACGGTAGACCTATTTTAATAATTGTTACATCTTCCTATAGGTGACAGTTCCAAGGAAGGCATGAAGGCTTCAGCATAGCACTTGTGCTATGGAGCTCTACAGCATGAATATAGACAAAACACCGGTTTACCCAGAACATGTTCCATACGAGGCGGCTGCGCCTCCCCTGGGAGTGGGGCGCTCCCCGGTCAACAAGGTATGTTACAACCATCGTACCATTTAGCTTGGTAACTACATAGGATATAACATATGATAAATGATGGATATATTATATTACATTGCAATCTCGATTGAGGGTAGGCCTAGTTCTTATTGTGAGCGCAATTTACACATCTATATTTTTCACGTCTGTAATGGCATATAAGTTAGGGGGTAGCAAATTTTTATCCCCCTGGAATTTTACTCCTGGGCAAACGTGACGTAACAAACCAGGGGGTAAAATTCCGGCCGCGAACTTTTGAGTTTTGCGACATCAGCTCGATGGATTAAAGGCGGAATTAAACATATATTTTAATGGTTGTGAATTTAATCAGAACACATCAAATTATACAAACCTAGAGTGTACGGCCCGGATTTTTACCCCCAGAATTTTACCCCCTGGCCCAGATATATAAATTAGTGAGAATGATTAATTATCTTCATTCTGTTTTAATTTATTAGTAAACATTTTATTTTTAAGTAGCCAATATTAATTTATTTGTAACATTAACTAATCGAACAGGTTTTTAATTTTAATTTTGAGATTCTAGTAGCCTATTAGAATTCAATCTTTGAAGCCAACAGTTGGTTAATATGACGTATAAACAATCAACTGAATGATAATTGTTTCGAACAGTTCTTTGAAAAAAAATATAAAGATAGGCTACTAAATAATGACATGTTTACAATTAATTAAACAGAAATAAGGAAATCAATAATTCAATTTCTAAAATCGGCCAGAGGGTAAAATTCTGGGGGGTAAAAATCCGGGGGTAAAATCCGGCCCGTACATCTTTAGTTGTCTAAACGCTAGTTATATGGACAGGGGGTAAAATTCCGGTTTTTATCGCTAATCTAATTAATCACGCTCTCGCTATTTTCATTAGACTTCCAAATCTGCGGGGGTAAAATTCTGGCCGCGAACAAACTTTTGGCCACTCAGGTTACTACGTCATAGTGACGTCAGCTTTGCCCAGAGGGTAAAATTCCAGGGGGATTAAATTCCGGCGACCCTAAGTTAGGTTTATTTTAGGAGATAGCACTACCAGAGGCTTAGCCTACAGGAGACTGTATGAATTTATTATTCATCATTGAATGTCTCAAAGAATCTAAAAAGGGACCAACCCAAGAACTCCATATAGCCTAGCCTACATTGTGTATTAAGTTTCAATAGTGATATTTATATTTAAAAGTCATCGTAAAACGGTATAGTTTTTACTGTCCATCAACGCTGACAAATTGATCCCCACACCGTGCGATTGAAACTTTCCACAAAAGCTGATGATCTTTTTTTCCCAAGTTTACTGTTCTGATCAGAGAGTCTATGACTTAGCTTTCATGTTGAGACGTAACTGTAAATAATTTAGGAGTAAATTATCTAAGTTAATCATTTAACTGTAAATATGGCATTTGCAGTTTGGGCCTGTGTCTGGTGACTTACTGGCCAGTTCCTGGAGTGCTATAATTCATCGGCCTGCCGAGGATTCAGAACCGGACGATCTTCCATCAACTGTTGACATGGACGCTATCAAGGTGTGTGGAATAAACCTTAATAACAAAAGCGACATCCTGATGTTAATTATTAGTAATTATTAGACCAGTAACAGCACTGGAAATTGAAGCTGAAGAAATAGAAAGCTATGGCAAAAAGGTGTTTCCCAAACATTGAATTTTTTCATACCGCAGAACTCTTACAAACAGAATTGCCTAACCATTGTTAGAATGTTAGAATACATTGTTTATGAAAAAGGCAAGATTGTTTGAAAAAAAACTTAAGTATGTCAAATCACTAGTGTCATTTGTGTTTCAACAAAAGGTCTGTTATATGTAGGCCACATATTTTACAGCACGCTGCGGCAGTTATGTTTATTTGGGTTATCATAAATATGTCTGTAGGAATTTTCTCGTTTCGTTATGAATCAAACGATACCAGATGAGTCATACTTTCTATTTATGATAATCCAACGTAACAAAGTGGTACATGACACAGCGTGCTGTATAAGGGTGGCCTCCGTATAATACCAAAGTACCCAATAGTGTACGGTAATGTCTATGATGGCAGATGCCTCTCTGGTTTATTATCCAAAGCCGCATCCCCACTGCTGATGGTGTCCGCACGGCAAAACCAACCGGCTTCCTTTGATATGGACTGACAACCTGTCAGTTTGGAATCGGCCTGTGGCATTACTGATCGTAATAAGCCAGCTATGTGTCCACACTTGCTGCTTGTCATGCCGATGTATGCCATTCTGCATAGTGGGGATGCGGCTTAATGCAGGTAGAAGCCCAGAGGAGCTTAGCAGCGTACTTGCGCTTTTGAGATTTTTTTTTTTTTTGGTGGGGGGAGGGGATATTTTATTTTTCTAAACAACATATTGTCATTTATAACTTTTGTATACGTACTGATAACCCTGAAAAGTTTTGTTGTTGAGTTGATTGCACGATGAGTCTTCAATGTGATGTGATTTCTTGGGTGGTTTCAATTTCAACCTAGATCGCAGGAGTATAATTTTGTCTTGAATGGAGGAGATAGTGATGATATCTTTGTGATTGAGGGGGATGTTTTAAAGGTTTAATTGTAATCACAGGAGATGACGATCCTTAATTATTGCCAGCGATGTTCAAAATTGTTAGATTTCACCGATTATAACATTATGATATGCACGTTTCTTGTACAAAAAATGCCTGCAGTAATTTCTGTAACAATGTAAACCTAGCATCACCAACAAAGGAAAATATTAATTTGTCTAATATTTTAGTGGTTGGTAATTTTATCTATCTAAAACAAAAAATAACTAGTCAGTTATTTTTTGTTTTAGTTATTTTTTGTCTCTGATTGGTAGTCACCAATCAGAGAAAATCCGAACCGATTCATGACTAATTTAGTGTTATGTTGTCCAGGAGCCATTGACCCCGATGCCTGCTCCGGTTCTGACACCCAAGCCAGAGCCTCCGGAACCTAGTGGTGACTCGAGCTCCGGGTCTGATACTGAGGCAGACTCGAGCTCCGACACAGGCGGAGAATCCAACACTGACTCTGAGGTAACGGACCAGCTAATACTTGGCAAAATATTTATTTTAAGAACCAATACTCTACAACCATGCAGCCGAAATAGCTTTAAGATTATCCATCAACTTATTTACTACGTTTTGAACAACTAGTTAATTGGTACTAAAGTAGTAGGTAGGGATGTGTTGATTCCCGATATTGACGATATTTGGATTGGTATTGTTATCGAGATCGATTGTCAAAATAAGTCAATGATAATGACCATATGACTACAGGAGTTATTCAATATTTCGTCGTTATTGCACAATGAGGTTTACCGTGGCCGTAGGAGACAATTATGATGTCTCCACAGCCATAGGAGATGATCAGAACTGAGCCAACTTCACAGAAGATAATTACCAACCGACCGCAGTAGATGTTCATAATTTTTTTAGCATTGTAAGAGACGAGGATGATATTTCAGTTACAGCAGAGAAAATTCAGGATTTTTCCATGAACGCAGGAAAAGAAAATGATCTACACACGTCTGTAGGAGATGATAATGATGTCTACATGGCCATGGGAAATGATTAGAATTTTACCACAATTGCAGAAGACGATGATGATGATGTCCACACGGCCACACTAGACGATTGTTATAATTTTTCCGTGACAGCAAGAGGCAATAATGATTTCTGCGTCCATGGGAGATGATCATGATCTGGCTGTGATCGTAGAAGACAATATTTATGTCAACATGGCCTCGGGAGATATTTAAATTGTTACCGTGATTGTGGAAGACGATAACTTTTCCGTTACTGCAAGAGACGATGATGATAGATACATGTCTGCGCTAGATGTTTAGGATGTGGCCTCTATCGCGGATGACGACAATAATGACCGGAATCGAATATTTTGCCGGAATCGCACAAGACTGGTATGATGCTTTTGTTACTGCAGCAAATATTCAGGATTTTTCCATGAAATAATGATGTCTTCACGACCACGGGAGATAATCAGAATTTAGGCCCAGTGATGTTTCCATTACCGTGGGAGGTATTCAGGATTCTGCTTACGGTGGAAGACGATAATGACATCTACACAACCGCGAAAGACGATAAAGACTCCTACACAACTGGGGAATGACTGCACTGCCGTGTGATATGATCAGAATTTTGCCGGGAATACAGACGACAGTGATCATATTTCTGTGACTGGGAAGATATTCAGGATTGTGCAGTGATCGAGGAAGAAAATGCAGATACCTCCATCTCCAGTACATTCTTAAAGAAATTTATGATCATTGTCCACTTGAGCTATTTGATATCTTATTCATAGAAAAAATATATGTCTCAGTCAGAGTTGGGACAAGAAAGCTGATGTATAATAAATTATTACAGTAGAGTCCCGAAAACTAAGCGTAATGTGGACTGGAAGGGTGTCGAGTTTGTGAAATGTAGGGTTATTGGGAACTAGGGTTATAAATAAGAACAATACAATTTGTAATCCTTTTAGCTGCCTTATTTATTTATATTTATGTTACAAGTCGAATTAACTGCTCCAATGTTGTAGAAAGGGATTAAGATATCCTTAAACATAAAATGTATGTGGCCAGTATTGTAAATAATAGTACAGGGTTTAGTCCTCATTTTGATGTAGTAGGCCTAAATATCAAGCTATCCAATAAATTAGATGTTGAAAAAAAGTGGAACCCAATGAAGAACGACCTTAGATGGTGTAATGTCATATTTTTTAATGATGTGTTACTTAGGAGTTCTGATTTCGTAGATTTGTAATGCTTATGAAACTAACAGAAAGTTTGTGTTTACAGGGAGACAGCCACAGTCACAGCAGCTGGTGGTCTCTGTGTGGAAGTGAAAAACAGGCACAGGCTTCTCCAGTCAGGACCAAGGTCAGCTCTTGTAGCTCCAACAGCAGTTCTAGTGGCTCGGAGCATTCTACCACCAACGGACAACCACCTAAACACTTCTCTATCCAGGACCAGGTAGGCCTACCGCTATAAAATCTCATATACGCTACCTAATTGTTTTCTGCTGTACAACATATTTACTGTAAGGACTAACACCTTCAGTTGTGCGGCTACAGAACTGGAATTTTGAAAATCATCATGAATCATGAATTCCATTGATCCATAAAAACCCTGACTGTTAAACCATTGAGAACATCGTCTGCAGTCAGGGAAAAATGGAATACATAATCTGCAGTCTAGGTAAAATCGACAACATATTCTGTGGTCACGAAATAATCGTGAACGTCTTCTGCTGCCATGGTGAAATCCTGAACATCTTTTGTCATGGCAAGATTGAGAACATCCTTAGCCAAAGCAGTGTTGGTGAAATAAAAAATATATTCCTTAGTTAAATTCAAGAATATCTTTAGCCGTCAGGGCCATATTGAGAACATAGTCTGGGGTCGCAGCATAATAGAGAACAGTAATGCTGCGGTCACAGCTACGTCATCGTCTCCCATCATTACGGCACAGCTGTGAATATCTTCTGGAATCGCTCAAGATCGTATCATTTTTATTGCACATTTCTGCCTTTACAGAAATATACATTCTGCTTGGTTCAACTCGACTAAGTTTGGTCTGATGATAATTTTTGTCCCAAACCAATCCCTCGGCTAAACTTTTGTTTGACTCAACCTGAAAATAACTAGGACCCGCACTCCTAGTAAAATAGTACACTTGACTACTTCAAAGATATTGCTGCAGGGAGAAATGGGAAAAATTTGTTAATTTTTCCAGGTGTTCTGTGGTCACTCTGAGCTGTTATCCCTAGGCCTATACAGAATCTCCTCACTTCAAGACACTACCCCATTGGTGAATTATGGTGCCTAGCACAATAAAAATTTCATCCCATTTGTTTGATTATTTCTTTTACAACTACTTCTTTAGAGCTTGGAACACTTTTTTATACTTGATTCCTCCTTAATTCGAGACCTACATACATGTTGTGTAGGTACTGTTTGTATGTTCACCCAGCTTCATAGCTCAGGTTATACCAAAAGGGCAGACTAACACGGTATAGCCCTACTGTACAGAAGATGATCAAATTTTGTATGGATGTAAATGAAAAAAAATTAATGAATAAAGGAATAGTATATAAATGGATACAGACAAACTGATGAGCATTTTTTTAAATACAAGCTTCAGAACTCGTTAATGATATTAAATGCAGTGTTTCATAGGCCTACATGTTATAAATTATGCAAGTTTGTAAGGGGGTTTCATATCTCTCTTATCCTTAAAGATATCAGCTTTTCACTATGGAGAGGATAGTCAACCCCCTTTTCCTGACTCACACACTATGTCCACTGCGGGAGTTCGGAAGGGTTGACAACATCCTACTGTTCAGTCTTGAAGAGTTTAAGGTAGGCGTTCTATCTCTGAACAACAACAAGGCTCCTGGACCTGATGGGGTACCCAGTGAAGCCCTCAAGAAGTTTTTATTGATAAATCCCCAGATTCTTTTTAACACTGTAAGGTACCAAATTTTAAGGGGGGTAAAAACGTACTACGAATAAATGAACACCAGAACTTACCCGATTTTTAACCACAATAGCCTACTCCTAGGCCTATGTGTTGGCCATAGCTTGGGCTATGGGCCAAAGAACGTATGCCTATTTTTATTCACAGTGAAGTACACAAACACATCCACAACTACATATTTATTCATAATAGCACTTCGTTTCACATAATAAAGTTAAACCGGCCGATTTTACAGATATTTAACGCCGCCGACGACATAACCCCAAACTGGTGTTTATTTGTTGACAGACGACAGACGAAACTAGACCAGCTCAACAAGTGAATTCGATCAGCTGTTATCTAGTAGTACTAAGGTTCGCCGCTTGAGCGCGTAAGCCTCGAGCGGGCACGAACGAAGGATTTTACTCCAAGACAGGATTATTCGTTCGTACGCCGTCTTCAAAGTAACTTCGTCGTTACATTCGCCCGGTATCAACGCTTGCACGATTTGACGATCGCCGATAGAAGGTTAGCTATATTAGTTAATCACATTGCTACGATTTACGTTTAAATTTCCGTTTAACATTCGCATTCCCGTTTCCAAATTTGATTTTCAATAACTAAATTTAATAACTTAAATTTCGCTGACTTGATTCTAGACCCGCCAGTTCCTGCCTACCAGTGACTAGCGGTGATTATCGTTTGGTTTGATTTAGATCAACTGGTTTCAAAATTACGATTTCCACGAATGATTATTATGTCCGTTTATTCTAATTAATTCGCCGATTTAATACCCCGAGACTTGTCGTTTGAGTTCTAAACCCCGTCTTTGGCGGGTGAAAGAATCTAGTCTTGGGAGCAGGCTGAGTTGAATAATCAGCTACGAAAATTAATACTAAATTTATTTTAGACCTATCACAATAAATTATCAGTTCAGTTATATTAATTAGGCCCCGACGACTCTGTAGGAATTGTTTTACCTTACATTCGATATTAGATCGATTACCAACGTCTTTAACTAATTAGTTGCATTTTAATACGAGTATTTACATCACGTTGGCTAAGATTGAATACTCGTTGGCCCTACAGAGTCATTCCAAAGGTTAGGCAAAATTCACCAAAACACTTTTAACGAAGGTAAGGATGATAGATAGCTCCAACTGAGCGTCTGCAGGATTTCCTGAACGTTTCCTGAGCTCTGAGCCTTCGATTAAATTTTAAATAAATTGATCAGTCAAAGCCGTGACAACTTCGTATCGACCCCTGGATTTTTCTCGGCTCCTTCTGAGCACTCCGGGGAAGAAATTTGAATGTGGCCGGTTCTAGGGGTAGGCCTAGCCTGACTTGGTGAATACTAGTTTATTCCCCCCCTAGAAATTTGTGTCACAACACATACAATGTCTCGCTCCATTGTGTTTCACTCCAGCTGGAAAACAGTAAGGCTTGTGCTCATGGGGAAGGGGAAGGGAGACCCAGACCTGCCATTCTCTTACAGACCTCTCTGTATGTTGGACTCAGCTGGGAAAGTCCTAGAGAAGTTGATCCGTTCCCGACTGAATGTCCGTGGGTGCTGCGGTCCCCTCGTCAGTATGGCTATAGGAAGGGGTGGTCAACAGTTTAAATTAAGGAGGTGAAGCGAGCTGAGGATTTTAACCACTAGTTTTGTAGGGCTGTGCTGCTCGTAACACTTGTTGTGGGAAATGCATTTCATTCCGATAGGTGGTGCGATATGCTTGACGCGCTGAAGAACACCTTCCACGTGCAGGCATACTTCATGCGCATCATAGAGGACTACCTTCGGTTCCGCCTCATTTTATGACATTAGGGAAGGCTACCGGACCATGAGTGTCACTTCTGGTGCCGCTCAAGGTTCTATACTCGGCCCAGACCCTTGGAACCGTCAGCTACGACAGCCTCTTGAGGTCTGTCGAATGCCTGAAAAAACCATTATAGTTGGGTACGAAGATGATGTTGTGGCTTTAATAGCTGCACGTAGCGTTGAACTGGCCCAGTTGAAACTGAACAGAGTCATGTGCACCATCGAAGCATGGATGGCAGACTCTCGCATCCTTTGAGCAAAACCAAGAACGTGATTCTGACCAAAAAGAGGATTGACACCATTGATCCGTGAGAACGTTTAAGTCCGAACCGTTTGTGCTGCCAAATATCTTGGGTTCATGGTGGACTGAAATCTTAGTTGGCTGGACCAGATCTTCCAAATGGCAGACAAGGCCGCTAAGATGGTTTCTTCCCTTAGCCGGTTAATGGCCAATGTTGGAGATCCACAGTCCAGTCACAGAAGGTTGTAGATGTCTGTGGTCCAGTTCATACTCCTGTACGGTGTGGAAGTGTGGGCAGACACACTCAGTCAGGTGTACAGGATGTGGCGCGCATGAGTGCAGCGTCAAGCAACACTCAGAGTGGCATCCACCTATCCAACAGTGTCCGAACCGAGTCATTCCCACCACACTTTTGACGGGGGAGAGGAAGCCACAGGGACGCTGGACCAGGAGACAGATTTAACAAGTACTGCATTCTGTTAACCAGCAGAAGTGGATTATTACTTTGTCCAATTTCCGACGGAACCTGGATTTTTCCAGTCATACCTGTTCAGGATGGACAAAGCTGTGTCGCCCGATTGCATCTACTGCCCAGGCACTCCCAACATTGCAAAACACACACGCTGCCCTGTCTTGAGACTCAAAACAATGTAGGACTGCTGTCAGTGAACACGGTCATATCGATGATGACGGTGAGTGAGGACAATTGGACCTGTGTGTCACATTTCATCCAGGGTATTCTCCGTGCAAAAAAGACCTCGAGATGCGGTCTAGGTCATAAAAGAAGTGAATGCCAGAAGCAGAGGGAACCCTGCGCTTAGGTCACAAGTTGGACTGACTTGAAGAAATGTGAACACTCTGATCCATTCAGGAGTCTCAGGCTGGCCACCTTTATTGTGCGTTTTAAAATGATGCACTTAAGTTTTCTACATATTCCAGTTGAGGCTCTATAACTAGCAATTCCAAGATATTTGACAAGGTTCATTCTTTCAAATTTGGGTGCTCTGATGTCTTTCCCATTTTCCACCATAGAAACATTTTTTTTTGTTTTGTTGATGTATGGACTAGATGCCATTTGCTTGATAGTACTCTGCTTCCTATTAATGGCAATGTATAATCCAATTTCTGGTGGTTTTAGTTTGAGGGTTTGCAGCTTAAGTACCGTCTCGTCATACATTAGCGTTGAGCAGTAATTTTCTAGCTATCCTGGAAAATCACTGACAAAGAATAGATAGATCCTAGACTGACGCATGATAGATCCTAAAACAGATCCTTGAGGTACCCCAAGGGTGATGGCTTTGAGATAGTGTTTTAATGAATCCCTGCTTTGGGGAAGAAGCTGTTTTCCGCCATAGAAATTTTTTTGTTTTTGTTGATGTATAGGATAAGATGTCATTTGCTTGACAGTACTCTGCTTCCTATTAATGGCAATGTATAATCCAATTTCTGTTGGTTTTAGTTTGACGGCAGAAGCTGTTTTGTTATTCCTCTTCCTATTGTTTGAGTTTTGACCTATTGAGTTTTCCCAGCGAGATAGCTTCTTAAACATTTTTCTGTTCCTATTACTCCATTGTCTTCAAGCTGTTTTATTAACATATCAATGTTAAAGCAGTCAAAGGTGTTTGAAAAAAAAACAGGGAAGATTGCAGTTGTTGTATTTTTTTTGTTAATTCCTCTGAATAATATGCCATCATCCAGATCATTGCTATTGTTGTTGATCTATCAGCCATAACAGTATGCTGCTCTTTGGGGTATTTGATTTTTAAAGTTATTGTGGAGCCTTTGAGAAAAATAGTCTAAGATAAGTAAGCCTGTGGAGCAGTTAGTCGTTGAGTGCTGTCTTGCTGATTTTCCTTTAGATTTGTACTTCAAAACAGGGCTGTTGAAGACACCTTGGATTTAGATCTGTGATGAGAGCTCTTTTCCTACATCTATTATGGAAATGTCATGACATACATCTATGTTATTTATGTACAATCCTCTGTTTAGTCATTCTAACTGGCCGATAGTGTAAATGAACCTTTAGTATTCAGTATGTACAATGGTGGCTGTCTTAGGCACATCATAGTACTTACATGATGTCCTGTTGGAGTCAAAGCACTAAACATCCTGTGCTAGTCGGCTATCTTTAAATTCCAGCTGTCTCATGTTTGCCTTGGATAATATTAGCCTTGGTAATATTTAGAACCAAGGGATAGCATAAGGTTCAGGAAGGCTAAAGTACTCATAAGATAGAGAAAACTCATAATATTTCGTCCACTGGGGACACTTTTTTATTGCAGTAACTGCAACTAATATTGCCTACACTTTAAAGTCACTCAGCGACGAATTATTGTGTATTTTCGGTGTGTAATATGACCTAACCTACCTAGACTTTTTTTCTAAGGCAAGCTTAACTGCTATACCTTGAATCAGTCTTGTTGAATAACTTATACATATTCTACTTTCTTGTTTCAGGGTGGTCTGAAATTAAAAATATCAGCTTTGAAGATTACCAAAAAACCACCAGCTAGGGAAGAATCATCATCTTCTAGTTCGAGTAGTGAAGAAAGAAGCAATTCTTCGTCAGATGAAGAAGCAGACAAATCCTCCGATGCAAGTCAAGGCAGCTGTAGGTCACCAAGACCTAGAAAACAGATTGAGCCAAGAAAACAGGCGCCACCTACTCCTGAAGTAAAGAAACAACCGGACGAAGAGCCTACAAAACCAGTGAAAGATGAGAGCCCTGTTAAAGAAAAAATAATTGAGAGCCCTGTAAAGGAAGTGGAAGAAAAGAAAAAGCGGGTCTTTGAAGAAAAGAAAGAGGTAGCTTCTAGAAGTTCGAAATCGGTTGTTGAAGAAAAACCTACTAAAGTCGTCAATAACAGCACAAAACTAGTCAAAGAAGTGAGCCGCCCTAGTTCTCTACGAGGCTCAGCGCGTTTAGCAAATTTGAGATCAGAAACAAAAAACGTCAAGTCTCCAGTGAAAGTGAACAATAGGACTAGTGAAAGTGTTAAAAACAGTCGGGTTGCAAAAGTCGTCTCCCCTCCTAAAAGTGCTGAGAAACCATCCCCTCAGACTACTAACAAGCTGAGGAACTTCAGACGGAAGTCGAAACCCAGCACAGAACAAGAAAAAACACCTTCAAAGGTGAGTGGTTACATACATTTTTTATTTATTGTAAACATAGTAGTGTTGTGAATTTTTTTGTAAAACACTCACCATGGTCTGATAACTGACTAACATCTGAAGTATCCTCTATTTAACTGCGATACTGGGAAATATATACAGTCTTGTCACATATGACCTATCGCTTACACAAATGCCCATTAGCTCTAGCAAATGAAATGGCACTTTAACAGCAGATGAACTTTGAAAGACGCAAAACAATAATTTATCAACCGAATTACAAATACTTGAAATCAACTAAAACCTAATCAGTTAAAACATCTGCTCAACAGCTCTTAGCAAGATAACACTTTGGTGACAGCTTAATTTCAAACTGTCCAAAATTATATAGATTAGCAGTACTGTACTTGTAGACACTAGCCCACTCCTTATAAACTAACAGGGTACCCAATCGAATCTGAAAACCTTAATACGGTGATCAAGTCGTGAATTTTGTTCAAATATAATTAGAAACAGGCCGATTGGGATCCTAGGTTTGAAAAAGATAAGGGGAGTATCAAGGAATTGTCAATTGTATTAATTGTGTTACATTATGATTTTTTTATAGATAATTACCAGTAAAAAATAGTATTAACCTAACACGTTCGCTGTTACGGACGTTCCGGAACGTCAGCGGGGCCACGGCGCCAGTAGCTAGGGACGTTCTGGAACGTCACCGTTTATTGTTGTGTTGTTTAATGTTTTCATGGATCAGCCAGCTCGTCACGAGCGTCTTATATCTTTGCAGCTCATGGGGACGTACTTTTCTGACAATAGAATATGTAGTTTCCCAAAATCACCACCAGAGACACAGGGGGGTATAGAACAGGGCTTTTACCCACCTCTTTTCTGCTAGATAGCGACACTACTACCGACTGCAACCTGGGTCGTGCTGCTATCTATCAGAATCGCTTGGTACTATGTCTAAAGCCTGTTTTATTGCAGAACATTGCTATCCAGTATAACTACTGTTGTTTTTACTGCAATTCAGTGTATCAGCAGCGAGCACTAGTTCAGCTCTTGGCGCCGTCCCGGTATCTAGCACTTGGCAGCAAACGTGTTAAGTAGTTATAATTTTGGGGGGGTGTGCATTCAACACTTTGTCATCACGACTATTATCCGTGATCGCGGCACTCGCATGATTATACGCTATGGTCGCCAAGAAAACTTTATCGGCTTTCAAGATTGCTGCGAAAACGTGAACATCTATGGACATGGAGACATCATCATTGTCCCCCAGTTTCAGGGACATTTTAATCGTCTTACGTGATCAGTGGGACACTGGGAATTTTAGATCGAGCGATTTTTTGCAGACGCTTTCTGCGATCACAAGAATAAAAGCTCGGCTGGGCTCAAATTTCTCACTTGATACTCGTCACTCAAGCTTTTAGCGAATAGTACTGAGTCAAGTAAGTAAGTAACTTAGCCAAGAATATGAATTATATTTGATCGGGTTGGAATCTTACGTATCTACACCCCTCAGTGCTAAACTCAGAGCTAGGCCATAGCCACTTCTGTGATGTCAGCAGCCGCTACCTCCGTTGCCAAGTCTGTGATTCAGCTATGGGGTGACGAAGCGAAGATCTTAAACTTGTGTAGACTGTTCAAGACAATCTAATTTAAACTCTAAACACACACACATCTCTACCATAACTACAACATAACTATGTTATGCTTTCATTGATTTAGCAAAGACAGGGAAGAAGATTCTTTCGTGGTGGTACAACACCTAGACTAGGACCAATTTTTTTGGTTTCTTGGCCCCAGAGAAGAAAAACAGTAGTACTGTAGTTCAAATTCTGATTTATGTATGTATGTGCATGTATTAACTTATGAGGTTTTAGCTAAAACAAAACTTCATTACCTTCCCTATAGAAGAAACCCTAAGGACTCGTTAAACCTAGTGTTATTTAAATGTGGAATAAATCCTACGTGTCTAGTGAAATATTTTTGTAAAAATTTAACCAAGTAAATGAAAAATGATTTGCTGCAGCCCCCAGGTATTGCCCCACATCCGCCTCCAAACCAAACCAAAATATAATAAAAAGCCAAAGTAATCAAAAGCGCTTTATGTCAATTTCTTCCTCATTTTGTACAAACAATTTTTTTTAAGTATTGGAGAACCAAGTCCGGGATTAAACCAGCCCTGAATGCATGCAAGTGTGAAAGCGTACATAAGAGCTAATATGTTATATTACCCATCCGATACGAGCCTGCATTGGAAGTTTAAGATCGTCTTGGTGTTTTTGCACCCGGACAGAGGTTTATATTTGTCGAGGTAAAACCGCACTAGTGTGAAAGCTGCCATAAGATTTAACAGTCAAAACAGTTTCATCTGATACGAGCCGGACCCAAACCGCACTACTGGTGTGATTTTGTGAAAGAAAACTAAATTTAAAGTCTTCATGTTAAATATCACCCAGCCGATAGTTAAGTTATTGCTAACAAACAAGTTTCATCAATTCTCAATCGAGGCCATTTGGTTTTAGAGCTCTCTTATCAATCTGATTATTTTTTTATGAAGTGTTGCACAATAAATACCTGGGGTTTTCTATATTTTATTGTAATCAACTTATTTTGTCTTGTAAGAATATTATATTAGCTAACATTTGCTAGGCTTACTAGCTTAACTATCAAAAAGAAGTTGATTAAATATTTGCTTATATAGTAATTACCGGTACTTATTTTTGTAAAAAAAACAAACAGAAAAATTTTACCGTATTAATATTCTATGAATAATCAATGCATATTTAGGAACCTTCCATAATCATGGAATTTAAATGCTAAATAAAAAGTTTCTAAAAACTTTTTCATAAGACTAACCATTTTTTCAGTAAAATTAAATTTTTAAATTGTAATAAGTTAACTTTTTGTTCTAACATAGGTATCTCACTATTGTACCTTAAGAATATACATTCCAAGTTTAACAAAGATTGGTTGAAACAATCTAAAGATAGAAATGTTTATGTAAAAAATCCAAAATGGCGGATATCTGGTTGATGAAGTTTTTTGGAACATTTATTCTTGATTATATCCTTAATTTGACCTTTTCAAAGTTTGGCTGTTTACTTACGCACGTTAGCACAATAACTTAATAACATAAAAATGATTAAACCTACTAGGGTACATTCATTCAAAAGAGTTCGCAAACCAGCATGATCAGGGGCCATGGAAACAGGGTTTTATGTGTTAAAAATAGGTTTTTCCCAATTTTGGTTCTTAAAACAATTAGGTCTAAACTATTTTGTAGGACTTGCAAAAATAAATTGTACATTAAGACTTTGTAGTATACCTCTAATGGTTACAGAAAAAGTACTAAACACTGTAAATTTAAAATTACATGTTATTCCTGTGTAGTGTGAATAAACTGTAGTTTGCTCTTTTAGGGATATATACAGTATATATATATTTTTATCAATTTCGACTTATTTGTTTATTTCATACTAAGCTATTAACATTTCAATAAAACACACTTTATTTCCAAAGCAGCAAACCTTCGTAGCCTACTCATAAAAATTATTGTCATTTAAAGAAAAAGAAATATAACAATTTTAAGGGAATTATTTTGTAAAACCCCCATTTAGGTAAATGGTAAATAATTTGTTTTGTCTGGAGGTTTGCTGCGCCGGGTGAATTAAGATAATATTTTTGTGAAAATCTGATCAAATAGAAATGCTAACAGTCTGCAGGTTACATGCAGTGGGTGTATTTTTAAATAATTTTTATAGTTGAAGAACTAATTAATAGCAAGAACAGTTGGTATGTTTGCACTGTGTGTAGAGAGGCTGCTATTGGTGCATGCACTGTGCAGGTATTTGTCGAGTGCAGTGAAGCAAGCCAGTTGACTGTTGACAGAGACAGAACCAGACTGGTGTGACCGGTTTATGACAAGATGTCAAGGTCGTGAAATTCTTAACTAATAGCCGACTCCATTTGTCAAACAGTAGCTAAGCCACCGTCTCTGGTTTTCTTGTTTAATGCTTTCAAAGTAATCTGTATTTGAATCTCTGTGACAATTGGGAAAAATTTGAAACACTATTGGATATGTTATGGAGCGTTTAAAGTTTGGAAAATATTACAGAAAATAACTTATTCAATTAATGTAGATGTTTTGTTTAAGTTTATAACTAAAAACAATCTTGAACATAGTTTGAGGTATAAAATTCTGAAAAACTAACAAAAACTATTTATTTATCGGAATTACGAATATTTTTTCATTTCTTATCATAAGTTAGTATATTGGTAGGTCAATTTTCTTTATTTATATAATAATATAACTACGGGACTGTTACAAGTTAAACGTTATTAAAATCCTATTTAAAAATTTGTATTGTACACCATTGGCATTTTATAACGTTTTAGAAGGAAACGGTCCAAATCCCTAAATGTATTTTAACTAGCTTCAGTATCATATAACCTGTTTATTCATACGTATGTGGCAAATGAATGAAAACTACTTTGTGTTATTTGTTCAAGTTTTATTTAAGTACAGTAGTTACCTCTCTAAACAAAATTAATCCAAATTGTGCAGCAGTTGATGACCAGTTTTTACTATTTAAGCATTTGTGGTAAAACCAGTACAACATAAAACTTGAACTTTAATGACTAAATTTCACTTTCATCCAAGTATTTAGTGCCTATAATCTTTGTTTGAAATAAACCCCATCGTCTACGCACATTTGCCTACAAAGTACCCATATTAATCGGGCGAAACCAAAAGGACGAGTCGTCAATGGCCGGATAATGACGGTGAAATGAGACGAGACAGGAAAGGCGGCTAGGTACAAATATGGCAGGAACATTAAATAACGAGTCTGGGTAAATTAGCGGTGAGTAACGACCGCCCGGGCTATAAAGATTTGCTGCCGGTTGCATATTTTAATTGAAGGCTAAGGTCCCGGACCAAGGTCGGAGCCGTCACACCGTGACTGGGAACGTGGGACGTACCTGTTTGGTTACGCTCACTGCAAATCACTGACAAT